TCCTTGGCAATCCACCACAGTCTCACAGACAGCAAAGGATGCCTGCTCGATTCAAGGACTTCTTCCTTCTGTAAGAATAAGGCAGGGGAGAATGTGGTATGATCCATTTCCCCCATTAATGGATCTGTGCTGATCATATACAGCCAATGACAAAATTATTTGTACACCTATCAAATTTGAATATTTTTATCCATTTCTCAGAATCTAATCTCTGTATTATACCAGGTTTTTCTATATGTTAATAAGCACAAAAATGGAATACAAAACGCAATTTTCAAAACAAATTTGACTGGTGAATTATGCAAAATAGGAAAAGACAAAATTATTTGTACAGTATGAATAAATAAAAAAAATTGAATAATTTTCACAATATTTGTAGTCAACAGCATGGCCTCTCATCTTTATAACTTGCTGCAATCGTTTTCTAAATTTTTTTATGAGATTTAACAAGTCTTTTCTGGGATTTTCTGACATTCTTCAACGCTTACATTCCTGAAGAGTTTATTTATTTGAACTTTCAATTCTTGCCATAGATTTTCAACAGGATCCAAGTTAGCACTCATTGAAGACCATGTCATAACTATAATCTTTTTCTGAAGCCATGCAGTCACTAATTTAGACATATCTTGCTGGAAAGTAAATTGCCAGCCTAGATGAAGATTTTGCACTGATAGTTATAGTTTTCATTCACAATTTTGATATAGTCTGCAGATTTCATTATTCCTCTTATTGCAATTGTCAAGTCCCCCTTGAGTAAAAACAACTTCAAAACATCATCAAGCTGCCTCAATGTTTTAATGTTTCCACTGTGTTCCTTGAGAGGAAAGCCTCACTTTTCTTGTGCCAAATATTCTGTACATCATTAAAAAAAAGTTCAATTTTTTGTTTCATCACTCCATAGTACTTGTTCCCAAAAGTAATTTTATTTGTCCAAGAATGTTTTGGCAAAATTAAACCGAACAAAAATGCGACATGGTTTTTGGAGAGGGATTCGTCATGGTCTATTTCCATGCAACCCATTTCTATTTAAACAATGTTGTATTGTACGAGTACTTACGTTGATACTCATCATATCCAAACTCTTGGCAATGTCTTTCAAAACAACTCCTGGGTTTATATTAACCTCATGACAGTTTTCGTGCACTTCTCAGTGACAATTTGGGTTTTCCTCCATGCCCAGGCAAATTCTGCCATGCCAAACTGTTTAAACTTCTTTATAACAAACTGTACCATAGATCTAGGAATAGCTAACCAGTTTGAAATAGTGCTGTAACTATTCCTGACTTGTAGAAGTTAATAATTCTCTGTCTCAACTCAACACTAAGTTCCTTTGCTGGAATTATCACAAATATTCTACTAAATAAATAGTCTAGAAGGCTTTCCCAATAAAAAAATGATGTAAATTACTTATACTTACATGGATCAATCAATTTAAAATGATATTTTCTACTGTACGAATAATTTTATCTTTTCCTATTTTGCATAATTTGCCTGTCAAATTTGTTATAGTTAACCTAATGTTCTGATTATTGAGTTTTATATTCTATTTTTTTGTGCTTATTAACATAGAAAAAACCTGGCATCATATGAACATTCGATTCTGAGAAATGGATAAAAATATTCAAAATTGATGGGGTGTATATCAATAATTTCGTCATTGGCTGTATTTTCAGAACTCTGCTGATATGCAGAGTTCTGAAAATCTCCAGGTTTGACGGTATTCAGTTTGTCAAACTCTCTGCCTTAGGGCAGAGAGGAACCCAAATGAGGCTATGCTGAAAGGCAGAATCCTGTCTGGGGAGATAGACAAACCTGATCCTGTGTATACAGGGTCTATGAAGAAATTTTGCCTGAGCCTATGGGCTCAGAACTCCCCACATTAAAAAAAACTTGCATTGTGCCACATCCTGCCTTGTGGGGAGGGCTTGGGTAAATGCCAAGTTCATCAAACTTCTGAGTTTGACAGTACTCAGCTTCTTAAACTCTCTACCTTTGGGCAGGGAGGAACCCAGACTAGGCTATATCAAAAAGAAGAGTCTCATCTAGGGAGATAGACAATCACCTGACCCCATATATGTGGGATCTAGAGGGAATTTTTGTCTGAGTTTATGTGCTCAGAAAGCCCCATGTTAAAAACTGCCCTTGTGACACATCTTGCCTTGTGGGGAGCATTTGTGTAAATACCAAATTCATTAAAGCTCTTTGGAGTCAGGCAGTCTGCTGCCTGGCTCTGATTGTCAAACTTTCTGTCTTCAGGTAGAGGGAGACTCAATCAGTGCTCTGTCTAGTGACAGAGACTCAGCTGAGAAAAATAAATGAGCATTGTACCCAGGCTGGGTAAATTTTGGCCATTGGCCCAGGTGTAAACGCTCGGGTTCCCCACATAAATCTCAACCTTGTGTTACATCTCATCTCATTGAGGGAACAGGGTAAATACCAAGTTCATTAAAGCTTACTATTAAGCAAATTCATTTTGTCTCAAACAATTCTACCTCATCAACATTCTGTGTAATTTTCTTCTTTATTATTTTTTTTATTATTGCATTTTTTGATTATTTTTTTTTATAGTTTTATTTTTTGATTATTTTTTTATATTTTTTTTTTTTATTTTTTTTTGATTATTGTTTTTTTATTATAGTTTTATTTTTTGATTATTGTTTTTTTATTATAGTTTTATTTTTTGATTATTGTTTTTATTATTGTTTTTTTTTATTATAGTTTTATTTTTTTATTGTTTTTTATTATTATAGTTTTATTGATTATTGTTTTTTTTATTATTGTTTTATTTTTTATTATAGTTTTATTTTTGATTATTGTTTTTTTTTTATTATAGTTTTATTTTTTTGATTATTGTTTTTTTTATTATTGTTTTATTTTTTATTATAGTTTTATTTTTGATTATTTTTTTTATTAGTTTTATTTTTTGATTATTTTTTTTTATTATTTTTTATTTTTTATTATAGTTTTATTTTTTTTTTTATTGTTTTTTTTTTATAGTTTTATTTTTTTATTGTTTTTTTATTTTTTTTTTTTATTATAGTTTTATTTTTTTTATTGTTTTTTTATTATAGTTTATTTTTTGATTTTTGATTATTGTTTTTTTTTATTATTGTTTTATTTTTTGATTATTGTTTTTTATTTTTTTTGTTTTTTTATTATTTAGTTTTTTATTTTTTGATTATTGTTTTTTTATTATTTTTGATTATTTTTTTTATTATTGTTTTTTTTTTATTATTTTTATTTTTTTGATTGTTTTTTTTATTATAGTTTTATTTTTTGATTATTGTTTTTTTTATTGTTTAAAAAGATTATTATAGTTTTTTTTTTTATTTTTATTTTTTTTTTTTTTATTGTTTTTTTTTTTATTATAGTTTTTTTTTTTTGATTATTGTTTTTTATTATAGTTTTTATTTTTTTGATTATTATTGTTTTTTATTGTTTTATTTTTTTATTATAGTTTTATTTTTTTTGTTTTTTATTATATTATTTTTTTTATTGTTTTTTTATTATTGTTTTATTTTTTTTATTATAGTTTTATTTTTTTTGATTATTGTTTTTTTATTATAGTTTTATTTTTTTGATTATTGTTTTTATTATTGTTTTATTTTTTATTATAGTTTTATTTTTTGATTATTGTTTTTTTTTATTTTTTTTTTTTTTATTATAGTTTTATTTTTTTGATTATTGTTTTTTATTATTGTTTTTTGATTTTTTTTATTATTGTTTTTTTTTTATTTTTTTTTTGATTATTTTTTTTTATTATAGATTATTGTTTTTTATAGTTTTATTTTTTGATTATTTTATTATTTTTTTTTTTGTTATTGTTTTTTTATTATTGTTTTATTTTTTTATTATAGTTTTATTTTTTGATTATTGTTTTTTATTTTAGTTTTTATTTTTGATTATTGTTTTTTTTTTATTGTTTTATTTTTTTTATTATAGTTTTATTTTTTGATTATTGTTTTTTATTTTTTTATTATAGTTTTTTGATTTTTTTTTTTTATTATTTTTTTTTTTGTTTTTATTATTGTTTTATTTTTTTTATTTATAGTTTTATTTTTGATTATTGTTTTTTATTATTGTTTTTTTTTTATTATAGTTTTATTTTTTTGATTATTGTTTTTTTTATTATAGTTTTATTTTTGATTATTGTTTTTTATTATTGTTTTTTTTATTATAGTTTTATTTTTTGATTAGTTTTTTATTATTTTTTGATTATTGTTTTTTTTTATTGTTTTATTTTTTTATTTTTTATTTTTGATTATTGTTTTTTTTTATTTTTTTATTTTTTTTATTATTGTTTTTTATTTTTTTTTTTATTGTTTTTTTTTTGATTATTGTTTTTTTTATTTTTTATTTTTTTCACCTTTGTAAACCCACTGCTAATAGAATATTTTCATAGGAGAAACAACTTTATTTCTCTCCCACTGTCTTGCGTTTCCAACCATATCTATTTCCTGAACAATCATGATACCAAAAATCCACAATGCCTGATAATCCAAATCCAATATTGATAATACATAATCTATAGTATGTGCTGACTTAGGGTTTGAAAATCATTCAGTGTGCCAATAACATACATATTTTTATATGAGCCAAAGTCAATATACCTGTTCTACAATATATTTTATATAGTAATATATACAATAATATGTAAACCACAGTTTTTTAAAGTTCTTATTATTAATGGGAGTCCAATGAGTGAGCAGTTCTGAAACATCTAAATATCTACTTTGCATTGTAGTAGCTATTGGTTTGGACTTCATGATGTCATTTGTGGTTGTGTGCCATTGGAAATTGCTTGGCATGCCATGTGTGGCATGCATGCCATAGGTTTCCAATACAGAACAAAAGTTTGAACCAAAATAAATAAAAAGAAGTATCTAAGATTTGAAACATTTTGACCAATTCTTTTCCATCATCAGTTTTTGAACGAAAAATAGGTTCTTTTTTTATTTTCTCCTTTTCACTAGTTAATGTAACCATTTTCCATTTTTCAGTTGATGTTCCCAAGGTTAAACCATGGGAAGAGGAAGGTGGCCTCTATGGTATTATGGTAAGTTCATTTATTTGGTTCTTTTTCTGAATATATCATCATTGGTGCATTGATGGAGATTGATGATGTGCACTTGTGATGAGGTCATAATTTGTATTTTGATCCAAGATGAAAACCAAGTCAGTGGAATCAAAAATGTTGAGTCAAGCAACATTCCTTAATTCCACCAGTTATGACCTTCACAGCCAGGACCTTAACATGCCATGTACACTGATGTAAACCAACTTCATTCGCTTTGTATTCCCATCGGCAAGAAGTAAGTTCCACTCAAACTGCTTCTTCCCATGAACTGATATTTTGTGGAATACAAAAAAAAAATACATCCAAGAGGATGCTTCCTCAACCACTAGATTCTTAACCTGTTCAAGTCATATTAATGATCTACCTAAGAGTATATTTCAACTGTTTGTGGATATCTATGCAGATGATACAACAGTATATAGGTACACCTTCAAATATCTAGATAGCCAAAGCCTGATAGCTGATCTTTACTCTGATCTTGCTCTAACAACTCAACTGGCTGGTCACATTCAATACCTGAAAAACCAAACCAAACATTTTATCATCACCAAGCAGATCCTGAATTTTCATTTATCACATTTAACAGATGTTCTCTCAAGGAGACCTTTATTCTGAAGGTCTGTTGTATTGGGACTTAAGCTCACCATTGACCCTCAAGTGGAAGTCATTACAGTCATTTTCAAGAACCAATATGGTGTTCATGTGTTAGTTAAAGTTCATATATCTACATCCTAGTATTCTTCGGGAATATATTAAATTTTGCTATCTTTATTGGGAAAGAGTAACTCAATAGTGAAGATAGAGCATATCTGTAGATATAAATTGCTTTGATTTGTTTTGTTTTATGGCATATCAACCTCAATGGGTTATTTAATGCCACAAAATTTTTTATTGCTGGTAATATTTTGTTTTGTCAAAAATCTGTTTCTACTAATATATTTCCTTCAAAATTGTATTGCTGGTAATAATTTTTTCAAAAAGGTATTGCTGGTAATAGTTAACTATTTGCCCATAGCTGGGACCCTAACAGGTGCTACCACCCTGGGTCAGGGTAGACCTGGAAACACCAGCAATTAAGAGGTGGTTCCACGATCCTCAAAACCTCCTGATCAGAGGCCTTGCTGCTGGATGTAGTTTAACATCTTATCCAGGATGCAGATGTAGTTTAACGTCTTACCCAGGACAATGTAGATATAAAGAATGTGTACATAGAAATCAACACTGCAAGGTGACAGGTAGTTTTGTGCCGAAAACAATGATCAGATTGTATGCAACTACTATATGTGTTGGCTAAATATATGTTTAGTGATAAGATTTTAGATTACTTATGGTCCTAACCTTGAGTTTATTTTTATTTTATTTATTTTTTCTTTACACTTTCTTTGATTCTAAATTATGGTAATTGTAATTGGATTGGCAAATAAGATTTTACCAATTTGCGTCTGTTGGTTATAGGATAAATAAAGTATAGAGTAAAGAGTCAGACGGGTGGGGGAGTTGACTACTGATCATATGTCATACAATAAAACTATATGTACAATCCATCACTAAAGATCCTGGAAAAGTAACCAATTTCCTCTACTGACTCTTTCTGCTATCCTCTACCTTTACAAGAACCACATCAGGCTAAAAATGGAGAACTGTTGCCATATATGGGCAGGAACTGCTTAGTCTTCACTTTCTAATCTTGAGTTCAAAAGCATCTAGATAAATTATTTTCAACTCTACAACAACTCCTTTTCTACAGACAAAATGCTGCAAGCCTCTTGCTGCTCTGTTACTATTTTCATAGAAAATGTCCTTCAGAGCCATGAGCCAACATGCCATGTACACTGGTGAAACATTCTCATTCCTTTCATATTCCATTACTGTGAAGTAAGTTCCGCTTGAACAATTCTTCCTATAAACTGCTACCCTGTAGAATCTACTCCCAAGAGGATACTTTTCCAACCATGACCTGTTCAAGTCTAGGGCTTAATCATTATCTTTTTCACATAATCCTCATGAACTGCACCTCTTACTGTGCACACAACAAACTCCTTCAGTAACACTCTACCTTGAATGGCTCTAGGGCCTTATATAGAGTGAACATTAATAAAAAAAAGTTAGACTTTTATTTTACATCTTTCTTGAAGGCCTTACTATCATATTAAGTGGCCCAGATGGTTGATGTCAGATTAAAAACTATAGACTAAACTTAGAAAAATTTTTAAAAATTAAACTTGAAAATACAATGTTTAGCGTCTACATCCATCTCAAATTGTGGGAAATTTAACAACTCCCCAAACTGAATTGTGGCTTGATGAAAAAAATTTGAAACAATTGAACATTGTAAAAAACATACTTTATATAAAAAATATATTACATAACAAGAAGAGAATAGAGGATTGATAAAAATGTGTTCTTTTAGCAGTTAAAAGTCATGACATTGGGGGACGATATCTAAATACATGTGTCTGTTTGAAATAGATGATGCATTTATCTGAAGCTGTTCATATTCTGTTTCTATTAGCTGCTTGTCCTTATATTATTCAGGTTTGCTTGTAGCTAGCATTGCCTGTTCTTGGAGTGGGCTGAAAACACATCTACCTCACTCGTGGTCGCCTTGGCCTCTCAAATTGGTGCCAGATTCTATTTCGCGCATAATTTGGGTCATACCCATAATTATCAGATGAATAGTTCCGACCTACTATCAGCAGGAGTTATTTATCAAAGGGAGATAACCTATATTTTTTATATTCTTCCAACATACGGGAAAACACGTAATTTTTTACTTAGCCTCATATATATATATATACATATACACACACGTCTATCCCGATCGTGTTGCTTTGGCCTCTTGAATTGGTGCTTAAATTCTATTTCGCACCTAATTTTGGGTCATACCCATAATTATCAGATGAATATGTCCGACCTACTATCAGCAGGAGTTATTTATCAAAGGGAGATAACCTATATTTTTTATAAAATGAATTTACTTTGATTTTGAATTTTTGATCTGTTGCCAGTCACGTATGGTGCGCAATCTTCCTCCTGCACTTTTCTGGGTACTGAGAAGAGATTTAGTGGATTACCGCACTCTTAATAAAAACCAGATGGTCAATCATTTTGCTCGATCTGCAGTTTTTACAACAAAGGTAAGATTCAACTAATTTTCATCATTTCTTTTGACTGTATGCATCTATGAGGAGAGTGTTTATGCACTCATAAATAAAGTGCATCCATCTCAATGGAAAAGTAGCATAGTAATACTAATAACATATAGACAAGGTTTTATTTGTACAACAATGAACACTCTGGATTAGTAAATGTTTGTACATTACTTTTGGGATATCCTTTATATATATATTGATGTAAGATTAATGATCCAAAGTTCTTTCATATTTATGTTTTTATTTTTAAAAAACAGTGCTCAATACAGAAGTAGAGCTTAAAATTATAATTATTTTTTTAAAAATATGATTCCATTGTGACACAGAAATTACTATGTTTTGAAACTAACTCAAATCATAAAGTTTAATTTCAATATTAAACTTAAAATCTGGAGCACAGTTTTTTGTTTTCATTATCTACAGCCTATAAATGAGTAAAAACAAAAAAAAAACAGATTACACCTCCATTTCCAACCTATAAATGAGTAAAATATTTCTTCAGTTAGTTATTCTAAACATTGCTTGAGAATGAAATTGTGGTCCAGTTTCTAAACATAGTAATTTCTGTGTCACAATGGAATCATATTTTTAAAAAGATAATTTTATATATATATATATATATATATATATATATATATATATAAAATATAGTTTTAAGGTATGCTATATTTATGGGTTAAAGTGCTCAATATCAGGGATAGAGTACATGCAAATATAAAAGTGGACATTGAAGTCAACGCCGAGAGGTGACAATTTATCTGTGCATACCTGGTTCATTATTTTGTTTATTATTTACTTCATTTATTTATTTGTTTGTATTAATTAATTTTACTTATTTTTGTTATTTTTATTTATTCTTATTTGTTTTGTGTTTTTAAGTAACATAGTAAAAATTTGTTTTCATTTCTGCATTTTGAGATGAGTTTTGATCATTTATTTTGTAGTTGCTTTTTTTTAGAAGATTGTTTAGATAAACATAAAAAAAAACATTGTAATAACTACTAACAATAAAATTAAAAAGACTGCCAAGAGAATGAAAAGAATTGCATATAACACCGTTTTCCATCATTAATTTATGCCTTATTTCTTTATAAGGTATTGAAACAATTACTTCACCTGTTTCTTCAAATTCTCTCTGCAATTTTGCTTTATATCGAATCATGTAGAGTTTCTGATGCCAATGTTTATAGATATAATATGTCAGTTTCAACCCAATGTAATATTTCTTAATTTAGGATTTCCATTTTTCTTTTCGTTCCTTATTAAATTAGAAAAAAATTCACCAGCAAAAGCTTCATTCAATCATGAACATCAAATGGAAATACTATGTGAACAGCACCAAAGTCCTGGAAAGATCCAACAGTGAAAGTATTAAATTGCTAATCATTAAACACCATCATGTAGCAAAAATGGAAGAGTCAAGGTTTTCATGTCAAATCTTATTCAGTGAGATTACTTCAGGGATAATACCACGGGGTTGTCCTCATTGAAGATACAAGGACTAAGTGAAATCGACACTGAAAGCCACTGGACTTGAGCCTAAATTGTTTGAAAAGTATGAACAAGACTGTACCAAAACTGGCAGTGTTCCATCAAAAAAGAAAAAGAAGTCAAATAACAAAGGGGAAAGGCCCAAGAAAATCGACCTCATCCACCAACATTACCATGGTGTCAATCCATCAACTCTTCCAAACAAGAATTGGTCTACTTAGTCATCAACAGCATCATCATAAAAAGGACTGATGGGCAAAAGAAGAAATTAGATTCTTGGATGAGAGATAAAGTTGCTGCCAATTATATATATATATATATATATATATATATATATATATATATATATATAATGATTGTGTGAAAACACATAAAACTGTTAGTTGAGGTTGGCCACTGTTCACTGGAAATTTAATTAAAATATATTAAGTCTCTGCCAGTTAATATAACATTGAGCTCTCTTTCTCCAGTATGTCTCTATAACAGACACTCTTAGAAGCTGCTTATTTTATTCATATATATATATATATATATAGAGAGAGAGAGAGAGAGAAGCAGTGTGGACATAGAAATCAACACTGCATGATGATTGTCACTTTTATGCCTTAAGTTAACCATATATCTACAAACACTTTATCCTAGATATTGATTGCTTTTCCTCCCCCCCAAAATGGAGGATGTGAGTAGAAGTCTTGCATAGAACTGGATGGGCATTTTTTTTTTTTTATTCCTTACATATTAAGATAGCCAGTGTAATAAAAGTGTAATGAAAGCAAAGATCACCAAATTGCTTTGATTACAATATCTGGTTATCAGAATTTATTTTGCACCAAAGGCATAAACTCTAAAGATTATTTCCATCATAATAGACATATGATATAAATTCCTACTAAGAAATCAATTGAAAAACTCTGACCAAATCTATTAGATAGCAATTCAGTTAACAAAATAAAACATAGTATGTGTTATCATGACAACTACAGTCATCATATTATTCAATCAATTATTGGATGACACTGATCTCCTTCAAATAAGGAAAGAGAGTTGTAGCATATTTTACAAGATTGTTTTGTAGTTTTGTTTTAGATTTTTGCCATGATGTAACACCTGTTGAAAATAAAAGATGGTCATTGCTCATGGGTTGTCATGTTTGGGAACCTGTATTGCAAGAAAAAAAAACAAAGAGCCAGAAGTTTATATTTTATCTCTAAGCACATGTATTTATCAATTCTAGAAAAATGAATATTTGATATTTATACTCTTTCTCTTGTCACTCACCAGGTTGGTTTGTGCGTCAATTTAAGAAACCTGCAATGGTTTGATGAAACAGATCCAAATACATTTTTTCCTCGATGTTATCGACTAAGCCATGAAGAAGAAAAACATGAATTTATAGGTAAGTATTTTTAGTCGAGGCTTGAAATGTAACAGGGTACATGCTACATTCTAAGGCAGTTTTAGTTCACAAATGTAAGCTTCAGATTTGCTGTCTATTAATTCAAATTTCTGCTGTCAATATGGTTAACTATCAGAAACATGACTCTCAAGTAGTTGATAGTTAATCAAATGGTAATCATAACTGTTTCCTTATAAGGAATCATTTAACATGTATTGACTGAAAAATCAGTATTATAATTGATTGAAATTTATAAAATTATTTTATTAAATCAGTTTTTCAGATAGAGTTCTGAAGTCAACTAAATGCGCTTTCTAATACTGATGGAAGTTTCTTTCCAAACTTTGTTTTTTTGATAGTGTGGGATGTCAATATCTTGATTATATTCTTATGTTCTCTCCAAGTTACCAATTTTTGTTGTTGTTGCTGTTGAAATTGTTAAAGTGATGAGGTTTTTGTTCTTTGATAAAGCACTTCATTTGTGATTTTATAGGACCAAAAACTATCAGGTCTGATGAAGGATTGTCTTCTTCTTCAAGATTTAAAGGATTCATTTGCTTGAAGCCATTTTTAATAATTGATCTAAGAAAACAGTAGCTGATAGTTTAGACATTTCTGCATGTGTTGGATTCCATACATGACATTTATATGAGAGTGTTGATCCGATAAGATGACTTAACATGACTTGTTTTCAGGTAAATATTTTGTTTTTTTAGTATCTTATAAAAAGTAGCGATAGGGCAATCTTTTCTGTCTTCAAATCCCTTAATCTCCTCAACTAAAGTTGTTATAACCAATCTGTACACTGAGATGTTTAAAGCCTTTAGAAAATATCAATCCAACATTCTGAATTGTTATGCTGGATTCAAAGTAGTTGTCATGACGACTCTCAATCAAATTCCAGATCATGATTTCTGTTTCGGAAAGGTTTATCTGAAATTCTAACTCTTAGAACATTTGATATAAAATGTTGACCTTTTGTTCAAGATCATTTCTTACACTGACTATGAACATCTATGTCATCAGCATAAGCCTCCTCATCATCAATGCAACTGACCTCTAGAAGGAAAACAAGAGCAGCATTTTTTATCAACAGATTCATTTTGGATGTGCTATGGTATATTGAAATGTTCCAGAACCATTTCTTCACACCTGTCCTTATAAATGTACAAAGCATAGACTAAATGATTCAGCTTGTTCTTTATTAAATTATTTATCTTATATTTTTGAAGAGAATACTAAGGGAGCTTATACCATAAATGATATTGAAAGTAACAGATTACAAATGTATTTTTATAGTAACAGACTACTAATGCATTTAATGGACTAATACTTTAGTCTAATTTAATACAACTGGTGTTTGTGTCATAAATGGTTTCTAATGCATACTGAAAGTAACAAATTCCTAGTGAATTTTGTTAGTAACAGACTCGTAATGCATTTCTATAGTAAATCATTTCTGATGAGATTATATAGTAAATCATTTCTAATAATTTCTATAGCAAATAATTACAGATGCATCTCTTATGTTTTGTAATGCATTTTTATCATAAATAATCTCCTATGCCACTTTGCATATTATGCATAAAGTATTAAATTAGAAGAATGTCAAAGAGTGAAAGAGATGATTTGATTGCTATTTTCATGTGGTCTGATAGTATGTATAATCAAATGACCTTTTATTATAGACTGAAATCAGAAAGAATATTTGATGGATGCAGATGAGAAGAGTCAGTGTGTGTGTGTGTACTATAATGTTTCCATATATTTATGAAATATGTTGTTAAGTATCAAAGTAGTAAACACCTGATCAAAGTAGGCTACCAATACTGAGAGAGAGTGTAATTGGGATAGTGTATCCTTTAAATAGTAGAAGCTGACTAATTATTTTAGTCAGTTCAAAGTTTGTACTTCATGAATGTCTTGTACCCAATAGATATTGACTGATTAGCCATTTTTATCACATTGCTATTCTAACTTTTTCTAAGAGAGTATCACCAAGAATGGTAAAATATACTTTAGTCATAATGGCTCCCAAGCCTTTTCTTAAGGTTTCCAAAGTATTCAAACAAAGTTGACCAATTAATGTGAAAAATTTATTCCCACTTTTCAATTTATGGTCAACCGACTTCTAGTTTATTCATGTAAAACTACATTGTCCCTACATAACTGAAATTCATTTTGTGTTTCATCATTTGTGAAATCCTACAAACATCTACTATTTTTCTTAATCTTTCATTCTGGATGATTAATTCATGATTCTCCCTACAAACTCCAAAAGGTGTGTGTGACCACAACATTACAAAACTTAGAACCAGAAGTCCTGTTTCAAATACTGGCTTTGTTGTGTTATTTCTGTGGCAATTTCTAATTTATTCCTATAAAATCTATTTATTCATCTCAATAAGAAATAGTTATGGTGATTTTCTATACACTTTCCAAGAACTTATTTGAAATACACTTCACTATAAATGAGTCACACATCTGAGAGATTATTATTATTGATGCAGTGGTGCAATTTCTCTTTTTATCTTTTTATTCCTCTCAAACTACTTGCAATTGTTTTGGGCTATTGAGTAATGTTTCTAGAATCAAATGCAATTTCAATTTGTCATTTATTTTCCTCCTAACAGATGATTTCAACTTCACCGCTTGTATGAATATTTTGAAGATTGTAGTCGAGAACTACATGAGTTGGTCAACATTGAGTCTGCAAGAAAACCAGATTATAATCTCGGCCAAAAGCAACAAAGAATCTGAGAGACAAATGGAAATAATAAATGAAAAGAACACTGATGGGAGTGAGTTGGTGACATTTTTCTCAAGATTTATTTCTAAAGAATTGGGTAAATTGGGAAACAGTCCAGCATTGTGTGTATATATGCATATTTATGTTTTTGTGTGTGTATGTGTCTATATATATATATATATATATATATAATTATTTATTTAAAAATTATAACATAAATATATTATAAAATCACTACAAAAATAGCCATTTTGTTTCAACCTCCAGTGTCTTATCAAGTGATGATGTTGAATGTAAAATAAATGGTTTTGAAAGTTTCAAATTAATTAACGATCCTTCGCAAGAGGAAATGCTGTTACAAAAGCTAGAATGACCAATCAAAACACAAGTATAGGAAAATTCAAAAAACTCGACAACAAAGTAAGGTTATAATAGCTATTAAGAGCTTTAAAGTTGGGGTTATACTAAAAAAGAATTTATTCTAACCAATAAGTATTAAATTATATGATAAAATTTGATATTAAAATTAAAAGTAAAAAAATAGCAATTTTAAAATCTAAATTTAATCTCTATTAAGTTTAAAATTATAAAATTACTGAGGAGAAAAGAAAAAATACATGTTATTCAATTTGCCAAGTAATATCAAGGCTGTACATCTGGTTATGTGAGATTTAAAATGTCTTCATACTTTTCAGACAGATTTTGCATGCGTGTATATAGTTTGATTAATCAATTTGTTTTTTACAGCTTATCAACAAGTTATCTCAAAGCAGAAAAAAGTTCTTACCAATACATCATTATTGATTTACTGATACAAATCCTACTAATTAAGCTATGTATATTCATAACTTTCCCAAGGGTATTTGTGTGTATTTGTGTGTAGCACCTGGTATTCCAAAGTGGTGACCCATCTAGGTATTGACCAGATTTAACATTTCTTAACTTTGGTGATCGTATGAGAACCAGTGTTTCAACATGATATGGCTGTAAGCCTCTATTTGTGTCTGTGTGTGTGTGTGTGTGTATATATATATATATATATATATATATATATATAGTCTGATATGGGAAACTCCTGCATCTCATATTCTTGCATTGTATGTATATATGCTATATGGATATATTTTTGTGTTTGCTTATATACACAATATAAACAATTAATTACTTAGATGAAATGGAATTTCATTTGAATATATAGGTTATCTTTGATTTTCTTGAATACAGTGCTGAATATCCTGATGATAGAGCCCCAGCTAGTGTAATGTTATGTTTCTTAGATCTTGTTAAAATGACCAGATCCTTCAAAGCACAGATGGGTTATATCATGTGCTTGATAAATTTGATTAAAAACTGTAAACAAGGAGCGTTTTCTTAACTTTTTCAGTTAAATTTACTTGTTTCAATACAAAAAATGCATGTCTAATTTCAATACATATGTCTGTATGAATGTTTTGATATATAAGCAAAGTTTTGTATTCCAGCCTCATCCACTGATGAGATAAAACATTATTACCATCTACATAATAAGCAAATAAGGCATAGATTCTAGGTTTCCTGCAGGAATTCATAACATCAGGTTTTTCACTTTTACAGGGTGTGTGATGGGTAAATTGTTGCCATATTATATTTTTAATTTTGTGCATGAGTGCTGTTTGTTTTTGAATTTGTCGACTGCATAGTAGGGTCAGTTGGGCACCGTCTGTGAGAAAAAGAGCACCATGACACAATTCACTCCACCTGAAATTTGGAAATGGCATTTGCTTGGAAAGCTCCAATATGAACATTTCCAAGTGTTTGGATTTCACTCTGAGGAAAGTGCAGAAGATTTGGAAAGAGTTGGATGAGTCTAATAGTGATTACAAAGGTACGGTGGCTTGAAAATCCCAATCTAATCGTTTTGATAATAAAAGAACTCCCAAATTTGTTAGTGAGGGGCTCAGACTCAACACAGAGGCCTACATCAAGTATCTTGAGGAGGTATTGCTGCTCTGAGTCAAGAGAATGGCTGCTGGAAGACCCTTTATCTATTAACAGAACTCTGTTTCATGTCACACAAGCAGAAGAACCAAGTCATGGTAGATCACATCACCCCTTACATCTGAAGACCTAACTCCCCAGACTGCAACCCCCTTGATTATTATGTATGGGGCGCAGTTGAATGAGAAACCAACAAGACTCTTTGTAACACCAAAGATGAACTGAAGGCAAGGATTATGTCAGCATTCACCAACTTAAACAAGGAGACTTTCCAAAAGAGTTGCAGGTGATTTCAAAGTCATCTGGAGGTTGTGGTTGAAGCCAATGGCGATTTTATTGAATAAATTTGTTCTTTAGTATTTCAAGATATTTTTGTGTAATTTTGGTAAATATATCTGTTAAAGTGAAATGTCAATGTTTTTCTTATTTTTGTGTAATTTAGATGACAATTTATCCATCGCACCCTGTACTTGTAAGTTACATGGTGGACATTCTATAAAGCAATGTTTTTGATTCAATAAATCCCCTAATTACTGAATGGAGTTGATATCTGGAAGTTTAGTGGGCAGGCATATTATCCTACTGAAAAATACCACTGTAGGCAATTATTAACATGAAAGAGTATATCTGGCCTTCAATGATGTTAAGGCAGGTTGTATATGACAGAATTCCTTACACATGAATGATTGGACCCAGTGTTTGACAGCAGAATGTTGCTCAAACCATCACACGGTCTCCACCAGTTTGTTGCTTTCACTGCAATTCATCTTGTATCATTGCTTGCAAGGATGCACATATACTCTACCATCCAGTATTGTTCAGGATAATGCAAGAATCAGTGAGTACAGGGATTTTCTTCCATGGATACAGTCTACCCACCCCAATTTCTGCTAAAGTCCTCAAGTGTGAATATATCAAGCACCACCTGTGATTCTGCTTGATCTGCTCAATGGTGTCAAAGTCTTTAGCCAAAATTGTAGAACAGTAAAGGTTCCATTGAATAAGGGCATGAAGAATGACTGTTTTGAATGCCAGGAATTGTGGATCAATGATTGTTCTGTAAAGGTGGCAGGATGTGTCATCATAGTTGAGAGCCTATCCACTGGTCTGGAGGTTTGACCTGAATGCTCTCCTTTAGTCTCATCAAAATATCACATTAAAAATGACCATTTACAGCTTGACCAATGGTAATGAGTTTCTTACACATAATGCTTGCGATGTCAAAAAAATTTAGCACAAATCAACATTGACTTGATGTTAATGTCAATTTCAAAAGTTTTTTGACAATTTTCATGAATATCACTACAATGATGACTATTTTGTCTCAGATTGATAAATATAAATTCCATTTGCTGGTTGTGACTTGCTGATAAAGTTGGGATCATTTCTGGTTCAGTTTTGTGTTAAATGTAGACAACAATGTGATGTTGTCCTTCACGAATGTATCCAGTAATTGGACAAAATAAAAGGAATGGTCCCATGTAAAAATTCTTTGTTCCTATAAACATCATAGATAGTTGGATTAGATTGAATATCAATAGTTTCATGCAATTTTGTAATCTTTTCAATGTTATATCTGTTGTCTCAAGTGCTCTTTGTTGTTGACAGATATTTATGATCCTGGAAGCATTTGTACCACAAAAAATGTTTTGATTTTGCTTGTAGTATTCTCACCAAGTGCTTTCCCAGGTATTTTGCAACAGCTTTGTTTTGTTTTTCCTCTTTTTTTTTTTCATACAATAAAGACAAAATAATAAGCAAACAGAAACATTGCTGGATTAAAAGATTGTGGGACTCTGGCCAAATACAATGTTCAAATAGATCAATAAGCAAAACAAGTATTAACATGAGAAGTTTGTAGAAACTATTAATCAGGTGGGAGCAGACAATGAAGTTGTAAGGTAGGGGTATGTGGAAATCTGAACAGGAGGTCATGAGATCATAAGGAAAGTCTGCTAAAGGCAGATTCAAGAAAATAGGTACACAAAACAGAGGAGATATTAAGATGAAACAACATTTCATAACAGCATATACCTGAAAAAGACGAGAGAGTACATGACTGACACATTGTGATAAAGAAAATAAAAACAAGGAAATTTTCCATGGTATCTGTCTATATTTCTGAGATGAGGTATTATGTACACTATTTATATTATTCAAACTATTGTCCTCATCTTTGTTGCCATATTTATTACAACGTTTCGGCCTTTCAGTATCTGTCTATATTTCTGAGGTGAGGTATTATGTACACTATTTACATTATTCAGACTATTGTCCTCATCTTTGTCGCCATATTTATTACAACGTATCGGCCTTTCAGTATCTGTCTATATTTCTGAGATGAGGTATTATGTACACTATTTACATTATTCGGACTATTGTCCTCATCTTTGTCGCCATATTTATCACAACATTTTGGCCTTTCAGTACCTGTCTATATTTCTGAGATGAGGTATTATGAACATTATTTACATTATTCGGACTATTGTCCTCATCTTTGTCGCCATATTTATTACAACGTTTCGGCCTTTCAGTATCTATCTATATTTCTGAGATGAGGTATTATGTACACTATTTACATTATTCGGACTATTGTCCTCATCTTTGTCGAAATTGAAATAAAAAATTTCTTGTTGATGTTAAAGAAAAAAAGAAAAAATATGGCAGATGTTATTCAAAATAATATATCCGATCTTATTATTAAATTAATTACAATTACACCCAAAATTATTATGGATATCATTAGAACCAAAAATGATTTTAATAATAATAATTTCAATACAGGCAAATATAAAATTGACTCTAACAGTTTTTCTTTAAAATATCCTGAAAGATCTAGAAAGTTTAAAAAAAATATTTATGAACATAAGGAGGATCTTCTATATAAAATTTATCCAATGCACAAGTTATACACAGAAATAATTTCAGCCACAATTTAAATTTGAAAAATACTGTCCTTACTAAGATAGAAAATGTTAAAAATGAAAAGTTATTTTAAGTGCATTAATACAGACTAGCCCAAACATAAACATATGCCCTGGATATTTTCAAATATCTTCTTGCTTAAAAGAAATTCTCCTTTTTCAAGCCAACATATTTATGTATAACCATAAATTTTTTAAAAACTTAAAGGAAGATAGTTAAATTGTAGTTTAAAAAACAAATCAATAATAATAATGATATTAATTCACTTTTGTTTATTGACATGTCAAAAAAGTTAATTTGCAGTGTAACTCGTGTTGTTTGCATACATTCACTGTGGAAAGCTAAATGCAGAAGACTACGGAAATCTAAGTTCAGAACTGATTTTTCTTGTCTAAATTTGTCTCAATTACTGCACATGAGAACTATTTACGTACACACACTCAGTTTGCGCAATGATACCTACAGTGATAGCTATTCTGCAGTGAATCTCTGCAAACAACATCAGTAAGGGCTGCCACCAACAACGCAATTGAATCCCAAATTTCATTGTCAATAACTTCAAAACAGTAGATATTATCAAATTTATCAAGCCAGATTCAAATGAAGCATGTACAATTACACATAAATGTATGTATTCTGGAAATTTGTAATGCAAACTGAGCATGGGTGTTACACTGCAAATTAACCGTCAAATATTTATATTAATTAGCATCCTGCCTATTTTTTCTTTCTTTAATGTTGATAAATTTTGAATATTTTAGAGCATTATCTAATTCAAATTTGAATGCATAACATTATATTTTTTCTTAACATTACTTTTTTCTATCTATAAATATTAGTTTATAAATAGAATTTCTATATTTACTTAATAAACTTCATCAAGGAATGAAACACATTAGTATAAAAGATATTCCTCTTGTCATTTTTTTATTAATATTTATTTATATCTGAATATCTATCTATCTATCTATCTATCTATATATATATATATATATATATATATATATATATATATATATATTATATATTTGCCTCGTATACTACCTGAATTTTACTAAAAAGAAAAAAGAAAATAGTTTCCATGTCTGATGATGACTGGAGAACCTGACAAAAGTACTTGCATATTTAAGGAAGACCTAGTACAGTTTATACTTTTAAAAGACAAGTATCATAACATTCATTCAATGCTTAATGGGTGCATCTTTAAAATTTAGCGAAGTGAATTCGCCATTTTATCTCATTAACTTTACTAATTTACTTTTTGTATGAATGATTCATTGTAATATATATAAGGTTTTTTTTTTTAAAACTTGAATCCCAGCCATGTTCCTTTTGCACAGCTCGGAATAAATGCTACTATCAAACAATATGCATCATACAAGTACATCTTAAAAGACAACCATTGAAAGAAATTAATAACAATTAACAACAAACTCCTTGAAAATGGCTAAAGGCGTGGCCAAAAGTGCTTGGGACAATAGACACTACGGACAATTTTTACACTCCCTTACCCCCACCAAATGGAAAAATTTAAGAAAAGTAAAAAAAACTCAATAAATGCCCGAGAAAGATGGATTCCCTTATTTATTTGATCTTTTGTACTTGTTTCTTTTCTCTCCCCCAGAAAACACCCCAAAGAAGGCACCTCATGTTCCAGTGTTGGCTGTAATGCAAGCACTCAAACAATGTGAATTGTTCATTGATAGAAAAGAAAACATAGATGTTGATATGGATGAACAAGAAGTAAGGATTTTGCAATAAATTTCGTCTTTCTATTCTGTCAGTCAATTTTGAACTCCACAATTGGCATTATATTTTTGTTTTTGGTTCAAAACAATAAAACAGTTACAGAAAATATCTCTTCTAGAATTGTATAAGTTGATATTTTTAGTTGGTGCCCACTTATTTGACCCATGACCTCAACCTTCTGAGTCAGATCGGAGAAATTAAGTGCTTTTAGAGGATGCTACTTAAAATAATTATGTATGCATGTAAATATTTTTTTAAATAAAACTTTGTCAATTATTATCATCTCTTTAACTAGTATTTTAATTTCAGCTGCATATTTTTTTTGTTGTTTTCCATCATTTTATGGCCATTAGTAAGTAAAATGGATAAAAGTGAAAATAATAACATTGGTGCTAATATGTAAAAGACAAAAAGAAAGAATAAATGATGATATACCAGGTATCTGGGGAAAGTAACAAGTGACTGTACGTTTACATGTGAATTACTGCAGCCAGTGGATCTCCGTAACCCAATTGGTAAGGCAACTATTGCATTAAAAAAGATTTCTTCAGGATAAGAGATAAGTGTTCAATTCTTGCGGAACACTTATTGTTTATTTATCATTCACATTGCTTATAAATGATAGTCTGAGAGTTACAATAAAAAGCCACTAAAATTAAAATGAAAGAAATGCTGGTTTAAAAATTGATGAAAAATAAAATCTGCTTTCTTCTATGTATTTTTTAATTATTGTTTTTATCTTTGTCTTAAAACTTCACTTAGTATTTATTAAATTCTAAAGACCCTATAACCATTGAGAAGACTGAAGAATGTAACAATTAAAACACTGTTTTAATTACTATAAAGTCAAATATAATAGTGGGCATGAGGCTGAGTGGTTAGAGCATTCACTTTCCAACCATGAGATCCATCATTTGAGATGGTCAAATTTTCAGGAAGGTGACTTTTTGGTGTTATCGGCCTGGAGAGGTAATACCAGTGTATGCCAGTTTTGGAAAGTGTCTGAAAACCTAAACCATGAGTCGGCCAAAGCATTGTAAGTGAAATTGGGTAGATGGAGCCGTTTGGAGGCTGTCAACAAGTCACAAGTCATCATGACTGAGGGTTTCAGCATACTGGTCTTGTTCAAACTGTTGATTATGCCTGTTAATACCCTCTCTACCCCCGCAAAAAAGAAACTATAACTAATGTCCGCTCAACATAGTTGCAGTATAAACCACCACAGTTGTCTGCAATAGGGATTGACTAGCTTCCTTAGCAGACAGGTACACTCAGATATGAGCAGCCAGCCATTAATTTCTACCTAAACACAATAGTTTAAAAAATGGTGTTATATATATATATATATATATATACATATATCAGGTCATCCCATAAGTTCTGTCCGAATTTTGAATAAAGAAAACAAGTGACCAAATGTTACATTTAATTACAGATTCAATCAACAATTTATTTTCCCTGATTATCTATGACTTCCTTCCATCTATTAACAAGCTTACTAATTCCATTACTGTAAAATTCTTTTGCCTTTGATTCGAAGAACTCATAAGTGTCAGTTTTAACCTCTTCCTTTGTTACAAAAGCTGTTTCTTCCAAATGATTCTGTAAGCTACGAAACAAATGGTAGTTTGAAGGAGCAAGATTGGGAGAATAAGGTGGATGAGGAATTTTCTCCCAACCAAGTTCTTCGATCTTTTGTGACATGATTCTTGCTGTGTGGGGTCGCGCTTTGTCCTGATGAAACATCACCTCTTTTCGATTCACTAGAGCAGGTCTTTTTCTCCTCAAAACTTGGTTCAAATGCTCTAATTGCTGACAGTATATTTGAGCATTAATTGTTGCATTAGGTGGTAAGAATTCAAAGTGGATTATTCCTTAGCGATCCCGCCAGATTGAAAGAAGAACCTTTTGCCCATGAAGTTCCCTTCTCGGCTGTGGCTGGGGTCCTTTCCCTTTACCAAGCCACTGTCTACGATGCTTAACATTTCAATAAAAGATCCATTTTCGTCGCCAGTCACAAGTCTACCCAAAAAGGTGAAACAAGTTGGTGAGAATGGAGAGAAGAGCAGATGTCAACTCGAGATTTGAGGTTGTTTTCAGACAATTCATGAGGCACCCATTTTCCAAGTTTAGGAACTTTTTCAAGTTGTTGAAGATGATGATAATGAACAGTTGTATGGTTTGAACTGAGAACCACTGCCAATTCCTCAACTGATAAAGCAGGATTTTCTTCAAGGGCTGCTTCAAGAAGCTTTTTATCAAACTCAACTGGACATCGGATTTGATCTTCATCTTCAAGGGTGAAATCTCCACCTCTGAATTTCGCAAACCATCTTCTGCAAGTTCTTTCATTCACACATTCCTCTCCATAAACTGAGTGAATGTTTCTAGCCGCTTCGGCTGCTGAGTTTCCTTTCTTGAACTCATAAAGCATTATGTGCCTCAAATGATTCTTGGGTACTTCCATGTTAGCAGGGTTTTAATCAAACAAAATTTAATTTTATTGCTCTCTGAAATAAAATTTGATCAGTTTAAATGCATCTAAACATAAAAATAATGTTCAGCTCCATTAGACATTATAAAATACTCTTTAAATTTCGTTCATTTTAACAAAAAGTTAAAATTCGGACAGAACTTATGGGATGACCTGATATATACATACATATATATATATAGATAGATAGATAGATAGATAGTTAAAATTTCTATTTTTTTAAGCTATTGTTTTTATTATTTTTATTAAAGGGATTTGTATTTTATTTATATTATATATATGCATGTTTTTATTTGTGAAGCAGTATTTTTAATTGTTCCTTCCAGCTTGGACATCTGACCAATTCACAATGGGAAAAACTACGAGAATGGTATTACCTACTCGTACAGTAAGTGAATTTTGTTCCCTTTTCTCTTTTTTAATTTCTAATTTTACAAAAGGAGGCCATATGTTCTTGTTGCTGTTTTTGAATCCAAATTTTACAATACATGAATGAAAACAATTGCATTACAAACTTACACATGTATTAGCCAAGTGATTTAATATGACCCTCTTTGCTGCCATAGATAAATGAAATTCCATCTGTAAAAAAAAGGTTTGTCAATACATTGGTATTCACATTGAAATGATACACAATAAATTATTTTCTAGGCTTAGTTGGCTATTGCTTGTTTGCCAGAGACTCAGTGTAAAATTCAAAAAGATTAAAGCTTGTTCTATTTTATTTTCTAGGCTTAGCTTTTTCTTGGAAAAAGCCTCAAACCCATTTCTTCTTGGCAAGTGCTGAAATGACTACAGGCTAAGCAGTTTTGAACCTGATAAATGACCATAGTCAATTATGTATTGGCAACATGAACAAATTGGTTTATATGTTGAATGTGTAAATTATGTTAAGTCTCTTGTATTGTGTCTACTTTACAAATTTATTTGTTTGGAAGGCTAAGAATATATGAGAATAAAAAGATGACAAATCATGCATTAGTAAAATACTGGGAATATCGATGTCTCATGAACAGAAGGGGCTCTTTAGTTTTGGATGACAATCTGGAGATGGTATCTCAAAAAATTACTTGATTGGTGGCTAATGTTAAAATACACCTCATTAGTGAGTTCAGTATCAGATCCAAATGAATCAGAATAACAGCCTCAATGGGACTGGCACCAGAGGTAATGGGGTGTCTTCTCCAGTAGTTGCTTCATGGGTGAACAGCATGAACTCAACCAAACATCATGCAACTGTTCAAGAAAATGACAAGACAATTAAGTAGAACAAAGAACTTTAAAAAATTGAAATGTAATACTATCTGAGGAGTGATGTTAAAAAAACGGATGGATTTATGTGAGGTGACTGATCAGTAATTAGCAAGATTGTTGTTGTGCATCAACAATAGAAGATGGTTGTTGTTGTTTTAGTTGGAGATTGAAATTGAAGAAATCAAGAATAATATTGAAGAATATGATAATGAAACTCTAATACATGACAGCACAGAAATGACAAGAGGCAGGGATGAATAATGTTATACATTGAAACCGTGGAATTGACCTTGAAATATCAGAGATACAATTTGGTGAAGAGAAACTTGTATTGTGTGAAAAGCTGAAGATGTTGAGAACATCAGAAATTTTTTACTCAGTAAATTTAAGTTTAGTGGAGCGAAAAAAGATAAAGAAAGCAACAGAAACCGTGAATTAATTACTGAAGCTTATAAAAACAGAAAATGTGAAAAATACATTGATACTTGCATGTATAAACCTAGTTGCAAATCTGTTGCATATTAAGAAAGTGTTTAAGAGGTGTTAAACAAGAATCGTGGTGGAAGAAAAGGATAACACAAAAAATTGCAAAGTTGAGGAAAGATATCAGTAAATTAAAGCAATGGAAAAACCAAAATGTGAAAAAGGAGGTTGAGAAGCAAAGATTTAAAAGGACATATCATGTAAAGAATAAAGGAGTTGTGACTGATTTGTCATTGAAAAACTGAAACAAATGATAATGATAATATTAGCTATTTCCTTATAAGGAAACATTTCACATTAATGACCAAACAGCTAGTATTATTTTTGGTTTTTATTAAATCTTTTTCTTAAAAAAATTCCTCAGGTTTCTCAAGTCCAGTAACTGTTATTGATCTTTCCAGTATTGATGGAGGTTTCCTTCCTAACCTTTTATTTCAATTAGTGTGAAATGTCAACATCTTGATTACATTCTCTTTGAGTTACATGTGCTATCCATTTCAGTCATTGCTGCTGTTGAAAGTCTTCAAGTGTTATGGTTCTGTTATCTGGTACAGTTCTTCTTCTGTGATTCTCTAGTGTCACCTTACAATGTTTGAAGAAGAATGTTCTTTACTAAGAACTAACCTTAACACTTAACCTTAACACTTAAAGCCATTTTTAACCATTGATCTTAGAAACTATTGAATACAGCTGACAGCTTAAATAGTTCTGAATGAGTTTGGTGTACATATACAGGATGCGATGGGTAAATTGTCACCAGTTTATATTTTTTAATTTCACACATGCATGTTGTTTGTTTTTGATTTTGTCAACTGCACAGTATACTAGGGTCAGTTGGGCATCATCTGTAAGAAAAATTCACATTTCATGATGCAATTCACTCAGCCCAAAATTTGGAAACAACATGCTGTACTGCTGTCAGACAATTGAAAACACATCACCCCTTACATCTGGCCACCTAACTCCCCAGACTGCAACCCCTTAGATTATTATGTGTGGGGTGCAGTTGAGTGGGAGACCAAAAAAACTACTTGTAATACCAAAGATGTACTGAAGGCAAGGATTATGGAAGCATTTACCAATTTAAACAAGGAGACCATCCAGAAGAGTTGCAGGAGATTCCAAAGTCATCTGGAAGCCATGGTTGAATTTTATTGAATAAATTTACTCTTTAGTATTTCAAGATATTTTTGTGTAATTTTGTTAAATATGTCTGTTAAAATGAGATGTGCAATACTAGACTGGCAGTAAGATCTCATCAATTTACAGTTGAGCTAGCTAGATGTAACCATAACTTCTATGCAAACAGTTTCTTTTCTCACACTTCTTGCTTGTGGAACTCCCTTCCAGCTAAATTTAATCTGTAAAAATTTAAATGCAATGTCAATTGCTATCTACTGTCCTCCTGATTTCTGTTTTCTCTTTCTACTCATTACTAATGTTTCTGTTCATAATTCCTCCACACCTTGTAACCCCTTGAGTGTTACTGGCTGTACTGCCTTGTTTAGGGTAATTTCAGTTAAAAAAAATAAAGCTGTTCAAGACAACTTTCATTTTGTGATTTACTAAGAAAGATATAATTCAATCAAAAATTCCACCAGAAACACCATAACCCTTCAAATTGGGAAGACCAGCATGTCAAACCCTGTCAAACACCTTCAAGATATCTGAGGCAAGAACCTGAGCTTCAACATTCTAGCCTCAAGCTTGATAGACTCTTTCAACAATAACTGTTAACACATCAAATATGTCTCACTCTATCTCTCTATATTTTTCATCTATTTATAACAGAGTAACAAAAGACAGGAAGCTGTGGAGAACAATAATCCCACTTGTCTTGAAAGAACATGCTACAAAGAGAGAGGGAGAAGGGACTGTATAAATCTTGAATACAAAGGAAAATATTTTTAAATGTTAAATTTGATTCATTTAAAACTGGAAATAGTAAAAAAAAATGATAAGTGTTTGGTTACATTTGGATACATGTCATTTCATAGGTTACCAAAGATTCAGTCATATATTTTTGCAATCACGCAATTCTAAATTAGGTAAATTCTCTAGAAGTTCCATTTTTTGCTTAAACAGATTGAAATTCAGGAAGACTATGAAAAACAAAAAATTTGTAATTTTTAGGGATAGAGACAATTTTTGCTGGTATGTGAAATGAAATTTTCCTAAAAATTATTTTTGACAAAATAATTCCCAATTATAAAAATGAGAAAAAAAAAATCAGTTTTGTCATTTTCCTCTGAGATTTAGTCTGTTTTTTATGCCTACCCAAATGTGATAAATTTTCAGCACTGATAACTTTTCTGTAGAAACTCCCCTCATACATGAATTTTGCCCAGGAATCTCAAGAATAAATTACATGGCCTTAACATTACTTGTCAACAAATCAGAACAGACACTCTCCCTTGGGGTTATTCAGTTGATAGTGAGATGATATTGAGTGAGTTTGTGTACTATGTGACAGTTGCATTCATCAGGACACTGTGCCCACTCATTCTTCACATCTTTTTTTTTTCTTTCTTTCTAGCAATAATTCAATAATTGTTGATTTGCCAACAACATTAGTGAACCAGTGTGAGGCAAGCCTTAAGCGTCTGCAGATCTTGTGTCCACAATTTTATTTAGATGGCAAGAACAGCGTCTGGATTGTCAAGCCAGGAGCCAAATCTCGAGGAAGAGGTTTCAAAATATTTCTTTACTTGATAAAACATTTTCCTTTAAAATATGATTTCAAAATGGCTGCCGCCATGAACAGGAAATAGTTTATTATTTTAATTTCAAACTATGTTTGTAGTCTTGCTTAATTCTGTTTATTTACAAAACCTGCATCATGTTCACATGTTATGGTGTATGAGCATCTATCATGATGGTCTCTTTGTGAATTGATTGCACTTTGGAGACTAAAATACGGCCTGATGACTAACTCAGATAAGCAAACTTTGCAGATCTCAAGATATAAACTACAAAGATTAGTTTGTTTTGCAGATTATTACATCAAAATTCTATATGAAAATTATAACCGATAATAAATTAACTAAAACTTTTGGAGCAAAAATACCTCAAATGATTTGTGCACCTAAAATATGCAGAAAAAATGCAATGTCTTGTCAATTTTGCTCCAAATTTTGTGGTTCATTTTTATTTTTCTCTGCTTACCTTGGATATTTGAATCCTTAAATGAAGCTATTTATGTTTTTGATAGAGGTACCATTAGAAATGTCTATATAGGACAACCTATGTTTTATCTTGGTAACTAAAATTAAATTTATTAATATTTTTACTGCTCTCTTATGTTTGAGTTGCCATAATAATATGTGCTATAAGTAAAGATATTTATGTAAATGTTAAAAATATTAGGGCTGCCCACATATATTTGGTAAACCCAACAATCCCTTAGGTAGGGTCATCTGTATTTTTATTAGAGTTATTGTTATATAAATCTACTTATGCTTTATTTTGGCAAATAGAATTAAATTTTATGAAGAATAACATTAATGCATGTCTTTGGCATGAGCCTTGCTTCTTTTTCTACATAGTGTTATGTGATGTATTTGTTTATTGTCCTTGGTTTTACAAAAAAGCCCTTCTTTATAGGTCAAGATGAAAAAAATATAATACAACTAAAAATATCTCAGAGCCAATACACACCACATGATGCACATGTATGTCATGAAGCAGTAAACATACCACATGATGCACATATATGTCATGAAGCAGTAAACATATTAATACTGAATATTCATTTTTTGTGATATTCTGAATAGAAAAAGGCAAATTCTTTTCCTTTCTGTCACTCTTATAAGTCATTATATTGAATTTTGATAGTATAACTTGACTTATAAGCAAGTGTTAACAAGATACTAGGTGGAATTTTTTTTATTATATACTAGCCTAGAAGCCACCCTTTTGGCAGACTTTAGGCTAGTTCCTGCACAGGGGTTTTGGGTCTTCAGCCTTTTACATTCAGCATCCTATGTACATAAAAGTTATAAGAATTTAGAAATAATAAAACTATTTCATCTTTATTCGACACCTTAATTCGGCATAATCTTTCTTTGTATACATAATTGATTTCTGTAGTTTATTTACATTTATTTTGCACATAATTTTTATTTTCTTTTAAAATCACCATTCTTTATGACCCCTTCACATAAAGACACTCTTAAAAGACATTAGGGAACTCTTTTTGAACACGTTACAGTATACGTGCTAGAAAAAGAAAAGAAAACATATGAGCAACATACCATGCCCCACTTAAGTTTTAATTATGGTTTAATTAGACAATATCAATTGCAATGAAAAGTGAAATTAAATTTAAACCTTTAAGAATTGTTTTTTAAACCTTTCACTCTGTTTGATATTTAAATTTAACTTTAAATGAGTTGTTTATTTAATTTTTAATCACATGTAACTACAATAGTTATTAGCCTGTTACTTCAGGTTGTTTATGATTTGCTGAAATGGAAAAATGGACAGACGGACACATGTACACTGCGCTTTATTTATATAGAAGAGGAAGCATTCTGAATCATTATTAATCTTTTTACTTTTATCTTCATTTCATTTGCTTTTTGTCACAACTACTCAGACTGTTATTCAATGACTATTAGTAAATGGTGCAGATTGGAAATTGGTTGATAGTGTTTCATTGAATAATCATAAAAATATCAGAAAATAATAATACTAATAATATTACTAGTCAATGTAAAAATAAAACATCAAATATAGTAGCCCCCCCCCCCATTTTTGAGGGGGTGGGGAAATACAGAATAAGTGTATGTGATTAGATTTGATTTTTTTAACTATTTGCTCCAGTCTATCAAACATTAGAGCAGCTGGTATAATTAGGCAGGTTTCCTGAAGGAAAAGATTTGTGTTCAAATCTCACTGAAAGTTAATTTTTTTTATTTCCATTCATACTGTATATTAAGAGTCACTGTTTACTGGTGATCAGAGTTGTTACGATAAAAAACAACTGAATTTAAGATGAAAGAAATACTCACTGAAAATGAATAACAACTTTAAGATACATTCTGCATTGCTGTCTGGGAATCATTAAAGCGAATGTCGGTTAAACAAAAATTTAAAAGTCATTTGAAATGCTTATATTTAATACAAATTATTTTTTAATTTAGAATTTACGTGGACCATGATTTTAGAATCAGAAAAGTCTGTTGCAATTTTGTAAGCCTTGTTACAATTATCAGTGGAAAATTAATCCAGAAACAGCCATGAGTGAAATGCACACTCTTCTCAAGTGACTGTAATTTATGTTACCGTTCAGTCATCATGGCTTAAATATAGTCAACCAAATGACAATTAAAACACACTAGCTTAATCTTTGTCCAAACATTTATCTTACTTTGTTATTTATTGAATTTCTTTTGCTATGTCCAGATAAAATATAGATTAGGAAGAAACAAATGAAAATCACTTCAGCTATGATTAACAAAGAGAAGATGTGCATGGCTTGATGGTTAACAAAATGAAAAATGGGAATGATGAACAAAGTTCCAACTCTGTTTGGGACAGTTTATGCATACTTTATAATAATGCCATTAGGACAGACATGAATCCAACTCTCCCACCAGTTAAGGTTAAAGAGCAGAGCAGTTGGAACTCTTTAACTCTGTAAAGCAGTTCATCTTGAGTATCAGGCTTGTGCTGCAGCTTTGAAAAAAATTACATTTTCTATAAATTTTTTACAATTTCTACTAACTCTGTAAAAATTCAGTTTTCAACAATGATTGGCTCACCATGTTTGAGAAATAGAAATAAAAAAAAAATCATCTCAACTTCACTTTGCTTTTTAAAATAAAAAAAGTAATGTATAGAAAATTTAATGATGATTCTGTTAAATTACAGAAATTATTATCCCTGAAGAATTCAAATATCAAAGGTCTAAACATCAGTTTGTCATTTCCCCAGAAGAGTATTGATCAGACAGTATATTTTGCAGTCATAAATACTGAATACTGTCAGGGACCAAAGAATGATTTGCTTTACATAAGGGGGGAAAAAGGTGGGTGGGTCACTGCAAAGTTATATCTTTTGACAAGTGATCTGTTTTTATTGATTTATTTTCATTTTTTGCTTTCAGGCATAACTTGTTATGATCGATTAGAAGAAATCTTGAAGCTGGTTGACAGTAATGTGGCTAAAAGAGAGTCAAAATATGTCATTCAGAAATACATTGGTAAGACATCCCGGTTATTTTTTTTATTTTCATTTTTACTGTCATCAAACATTTATGGGATACCATAATCTAAAAAATAATCAAATGTTGCTTGCTTTATCATTATTTGCATAAATTACAGTAAGTATTTGTTGGGGGTAAGCACAAGGCCATATTCCTAGCTAGTGAGAAATAAACTAACAAGAAATGTCTTGTGAGATGAGTTCATTAACCATGATTTTACAAAGCTATTCCTGTTGTTTATAATGATTTGTTGTCAGAGATTTTACAAGATGAATTACCATAGATATTAATCCAGTCCAGGTGGAAACCAAAGCTTAATTGAAAAGAATGAATAATTTTATCAGGGGAACAATGGACTCTCTTTTTTTTAGATTATCTATTCTATGTTGACTTTTACAAAAAATGTTCCATCTTAAAGAAATGAAGAGAAATTTAGTCAACAATTATCAGATGGTGTGTAATCAGAAGTCAATGATTTTAATGCAAGCTAATAATTGCCAGATTATGACTGAATGAATCTAATGTGAGCCGTGACTGACTTTGTAAAAATTAAAACCAAAAACAGCAAACACTAAAGAAAGTAGTCAAAATTATTCACAGAGTAAAGACAAACTTTTCTATCAGAATTTCAGTTGATAGCAATTATCATCAAATTAAGTTTTAATCGAATGTCTCTCTCCCCATCCCAAATTGAAAATTAGTAATAATGTTGTCATTGCACAGGCTAATAAAAACATGAGACTAAACCTCTCATACATAAAATTATTATTCAACTCTGAACTTTCGTCACTTAATATCCACATAAGAGTACATGTATCTTTGGAGGTTTTCTCCAAACTTAGATTTTGCAAGAATGTAAAAGACTTTCTACTTTCTCTTCACTCTTGCATGCTTATATATCTATTCTGTTATAGGTTGTCTTACATGCATGCGCACATCCTAAGCATGGCTAAGTTCACTACTTGTTTATATGTCAGGTAGCCACTGATATCTAACGAAATTGCAAATCTGCACTTAGAGGTTAGATGATCCTCTTCCAGTTCAATTCACTGATTCACCTGGCTTCTCTGATGCTCTGGTGTAACACTGAGTGCTTGGTCAATTTTGGTATCATACTGAGTGAGCCAATAAATAAAGCAAATTTACACTAATACCTATCCTTTTTGCTGCAAAAATGATCTTTGTTATGAAGATTATGGATATGTTTGATGTCATTTTAGTTTTTAGCAATGGAATCTTTTTTTTTTTTTTACTTTTGGTATTATTATATTTTTATTATTATGTATATACAATGAAAAGCAGTAACTTTGCCAGCTACAACACTTTTCTTTTGTTATATGAGTCTGTATTTTTTGCAGAGCGACCATTGTTGATCTATAACTGCAAATTTGACATCCGGCAATGGTTTCTCGTCACAGATTGGAATCCTCTGACCATGTGGTTCTACAGAGACAGCTACCTCAGATTCTGCTCACAACAATTCACACTAAGCAAATTTGATGAGTAAATCCTCCAATTATTGTATATTTGTTATTAGAAACATTCTATCCATTTCTTTTATTTGCCATTTCTATTTGATTTTATTTTGGTCTGAAGATTGCACTGAAGCATGAAACTGACAATTACCATGCAGTGTTCATTCCTATGTCTACACTGTCTATATCAAATTTATTTTCATGTAGATTTGTCTCTCTGTTTCTCACAATATATTTAAACTTATAAAGTGATTTTTCTTATATAATTTATCAATCTTATCAATCTTGAGTGAAAATTGAAAATAACAAAGATCAATCTTGAGAAATAATTGCTGTGAATAAATCTAATAAATGAATTAAGAATTTCATTATGTGTGGAAGAATTTCAAATTTCTTCTAGATGGTGATTTGCAGGGTGTGGGGGAGTGTGGGGGGAGTCTGTCCTTCAGTGTAGGATAATGAATATATCTTGATGTTTAAAATCAAAAGAGATTAATATATTTATTATCAACTTATGGTCTGACCATTATTATTAATTTTTTTACTTATATTTTTTTTTGCATTCCTAGTCAGGAGGGGAGAGAGGAAGAGTAAAGAAAGAATAGAAAGAAGAAATGGTGGTGGTGGTGGGAAAAGAAAGCAAGAAACATTTCTGATCATAATTCCTATGACCAACGAATGTGTTTGATATTGTTTTTTTTTTGGGGGGGGCGGTAAAGTGATACTTCATGTGAAAGGAAACTTTTGTTGTTATTACTTACCTGTTATGTCAGAGTGTTTGTTGAGAATGTGGATCGTTCTGTGTGGTCAACCTAAGATGGAAAAAAAAGAAGAGAAAAGACGAGCATGCTGTCTTTTCTTTTTTTTGTATCATCTTTGGCTGAGGAGGAAGTGACGTAAGTCATTAACGATTGGTCAGCAGTGGCATTTATTTAACGAGTCCATTTGGTGTGTGCTTGGCATATTTTGTTTTTGCTTCAGGATTGCCTGCCAGAATAGTACTGTTTCGATAGGGTCTCTTAGATGAACAAGTATGATGTTGGAAGACCCGAAACTTGTCATGACCCCAAGTCATAACATCACTGACGAGGTGATCCTGAGCATTCGTTGGAGTGTTTTCATGTCACTTTCAACTTAATTGTCAAGTTGATTTTATTACAACCAGGTCATTAATTCTAGAACAGCGAGCAGACAGCACAGATTGCAAATAAAGGTTAAGCTCTCAGTGAGAATTAAAGTCATATTGTTTTTGCCTGAAGGAAGCCTGGTAAATTTCCAGATACTTTACCATGAAGCTACAAGAACCAAATCAAAATGCATCCATGTCATTCTATGCTCTTTATCAATGCCATATTTGTTTCTACAATAGCTTCATCATTATTATTTACCTGTCTCCTTTAGGCAAAACAGATTTCAATTTGAATCCTATCAACGGTGGTGGTGACTTTATTTCTTTCCTTTATTTCTAATCATCACTATATATTCAGTGCTGGAGAAATGACAACATGACTAAAGTTGAAATAAAAGCATGTAAAAATTTAGATAAAAGTAAATAGTAGTCAAAAAACAATAATGGTTGATAATACTTAATCTAATCAGGAATGAAAATGAAAGTAAATACTAGTCAAAAATCAATAATGATTTGTGTTATAGTGTGGGCTTACATTAGGTTGACAGGGAACAATCTCACCATGCTTCATCTAATTAGAAATGAAGATGAACATAAATACTAGTCAAAAAACAATAATAATAGTTCATAACACTTCACCACATCAGAAATGAATATAGTAATGGCTGATAATTCTTTATTTAATATAAAATGAAGATGAAAGTAAATACTGGTCAAAAATTAATAATAATGGCTGATAATATTTTATCTAATATATCAGGTCATCCCATAAGTTCTGTCTGAATTTTGAATAAAGAAAACAAGTGACCAAATGTTACATTTAATTACAGATTCAATCAACAATGTATTTTCCCTGATTATCTATGACTTCCTTCCATCTATTAACAAGCTTACTAATTCTATTACTGTAAAATTCTTTTGCCTTTGATTCGAAGAACTCATAAGTGTCAGTTTTAACCTCTTCCTGTGTTACAAAAGCTGTTTCTTCCAAATGATTGTAAGCTACAAAACAAATGGTAGTCTGAAGGAGCAAGATCGGGAGAATAAGGTGGATGAGGAATTTTCTCCCAACCAAGTTCTTCGATCTTTTGTGACATGATTCTTGTTGTGTGGGGTCACGCATTGTCCTGATGAAACATCACCTCTTTTCGATTCACTAGAGCAGGTCTTTTTTTCCTCAAAGCTTGGTTCAAACACTCTAATTGATGACAGTATATTTGAGCATTAATTGTTGCATTAGGTGGTAAGAATTCAAAGTGGATTATTCCTTAGCGATCCCACCAGATTGAAAGAAGAACCTTTTGCCCATGAAGTTCCCTTCTCGGCTGTGGCTGGGGTCCTTTCCCTTTACCAAGCCACTGTCTACGATGCTTAACATTTCAATAAAAGATCCATTTTTCGTCGCCAGTCACAAGTCTACCCAAAAAAGGTGAAACAAGTTGGCGAGAATGGAGAGAAGAGCAGATGTCAACTCGAGATTTGAGGTTGTTTTCAGACAATTCATGAGGCACCCATTTTCCAAGTTTAGGAACTTTTTCAAGTTGTTGAAGATGATGATGATGAACAGTTGTATGGTTTGAACTGAGAACCACTGCCAATTCCTCAACTGATAAAGCAGGATTTTCTTCAAGGGCTGCTTCAAGAAGCTTTTCATCAAACTCAACTGGACATCCGATTTGATCTTCATCTTCAAGGGTGAAATCTCCACCTCTGAATTTCGCAAACCATCTTCTGCAAGTTCTTTCATTCATACATTCCTCTCCATAAACTGAGTGAATGTTTCTAGCTGCTTCGGCTGCTGAGTTTCCTTTCTTGAACTCATAAAGCATTATGTGCCTCAATTGATTCTTAGGTACTTCCATGTTAGCAGGGTTTTAATCAAACAAAATTTAATTTTATTGTTCTCTGAAATAAAATTTGATCAGTTTAAATGCATCTAAACATAAAAATAATGTTCAGCTCCATTAGACATAAAATACTCATTAAATTTCGTTCATTTTAACAAAAAGTTAAAATTCGAACAGAACTTACGGGATGACCTGATAGAATGAAGATGAAAGTAAATGCTAGTCAACAATTATTGATAATAGCTGACAATCTAATGAAAAATAAAATAAAACTCCTAGGTTGGCATTGTGAACAAATATTCAGGTTTGTTATACCTATACAAGAAAGCGTGTAGTTCCGTTTCATGTGTGGGGGGTGGGGGTCCTGCAGCCAGGAGTGACCTAAGGAGAAATCTCTTTCTTTTGCTCTTTTTATGCAGATTGATTTCCAAAAAAAAGTTATTTGATAAATCCTATTCCTCCATGTCACCCCTACTGATTACCTCACTTTCCCATCAATGGTGGTTGAATCTGTAGGAGATGAGGGCCCTCTTCAAGGAATCTAGTGGAAAAAAAAAGTCATGTTTTATATTTGTGGGGTCTGCAACAAAATAAGTACTGATGATTCATACTGATAAATGATATACTTTGATTTATTTGAATGATTCTTCTTAAATTAGTGTTAGTATAGACATAACTGATAAGTTTAAGCTCTTATTGTAAATTTCTTTCAGACTATGACTAATTTACAGTAAAAATATGTTTATTAAAAAAATTCAACTTAATTAAATTTATGAAATTGAACAAGATCAATATTTATGACAAACTTCATGTGATTTTCGTCTGTATTATAGTGTGGGCTTACATTAGGTTGACAGGGAACAATGTCACCATGACAAGAGGAGGGCAGGGGGCTGTCTCACCACAGCAGAATGCAGTCTCACCATGATGGGGACAGCCTCTCTTTTTGATAATTGATCTTCTGAAGCATTTTTGATTCTAAATGAAAGTGGCAAAATTTATTGAGAGAGCAATTCATTAAGTCTAATGATAAAAATTGGTCTAAAGTAATTCTGATGGACATTTGGAACCCCAAATAAATAACTCTCTGATTATCATGTTCATTTTTATTAGGTACAGGGAGGGTGAGGGGGGGGGCGTGGTTATTATTCGTTTGGATTTAAGAATATTACATATTGATAACGGATTTAAAAACTGAAAATGTTTTAAGATATCAACACATATATTTTCAATGCAATATAAAGCACATTCCATGACCCTACACAGGTGGGGTACTTCTCCAGGTCAGTCCTGGGTTTGATGATAAGCTACATCTGGCAGCAAGGCCTCTGATCGACAGATTGAAGGTTTTCAGGAGCGTGCTGTTGTTTCCCAGATTCCCAGTTATAGGCAAATAGTGAAACCCCCCCAAACAAAAGCAAAACACTATGAAAGTATAAAAATACATTTTTATAATAAAAATACGAACAATACATTTTTATACAAAAAAAAAAAAATTACCAAAAATACATTTTATAGTAGAATAACTAACAAAACATTTTTCTGTGGTTGAAGCCATAAAATGATGTTCAAAATATTTCAGTTTCAGCATTAAATAATCCATAGAGGTGTTGATATGCCATTAAACAAAATCAAACAAAAAAATCAACTTCTCCAGGGAATAGTGGTTTGTTATTTAAAGCTTTTGCTACTTACAAGTGTGGAGCACCCAGGAGGGGAGAGGCTTAACATGAGTGCCTTGCTCATATAAGCCTCTCTCTCAGATTAAGTGGACTATCATAAATATTCATCTATGATCCATGAACAGCTTAGAAATCAGTTATTTTGTATGGATTTGTGTAAGTTTCATTAGATGGATGCACAGCTCCAGTGGGTGGGGGAATATTATGATCATTGTGCTGTTGTGGATGACAGCTTGTTAGTATGACTGGACAATATACATGCATGGCTCTTGAAAATGACCTCAAATCAGTGGTTAAAAGAGTCAAGAAATGGCTTATAAATTTTAACACCTCCAAAACAAAACTGCTATCATCATAAAAAAATCTTTTCTGTCTGCTATTAGAATGGCTGATACTAACCTCCAGGTTAGCAACTTTTCACCTTCTTGTGCACTCACTTTCGACAGACATGAAGTGGAGTGATTATATTGAATCAATTGCTAGGATGTCTGCTGCAAGAAAAGTTGGTTCACTGTGTTGTGTCAGACAATTCTTCTCAGCAGAATCCATCTTGTACATTTTTAAAACTACCATTCCTATATGCATTGAATATTGCTGCCATATCTGGTCTGGTACTTCTACTATATAGCTTGAAATTCTTCACAAAATCCAAAGAAGGTCTGTAATGTAATTGGTCATGACCTGGCATCTCAACTTCAGTCACTTTCTCACCACCATGATGTGGCTTCCCTTCATCTTCTCTGTAAATGTTTTCATGACAATTGTTCTAATGACCTTTCCTCATAGCATGAATTTTATACTACTTGATTTGTAAATTGGTCTCACTGTTTTACTGTTGAACTAGCTAGATCTAACTGTAAGTGCTATTCTAATTTTCTTTTCTCACACTTCCTGCCTGTGGGGCTCTCTTCCAATTTCTAGCTTCCCTGCCACTTACAATCTTCAAAAATTTAAATGCAATGTCAACTGCTATCTTCTGTCTTCCTGAAACCTGTTCTTTTATTGTCCTTTTCCCTCACTAAAATTTCATCCTGTTTCACTCCCAGTAACCCCTTGCATCTTAGTAGTATTATTGCTTTGTTTGGGGTGGAATGATTAAAAAAAATGTATGTTTAGAATGAAACACAAAATTCGAGGTAAAATGGCAACAATAAATAAACAACTGAAATACAAAAACATTGAAAGAATGAGTGGACAAAGTTGTTTATGAATGAATTAAAGTTTGTGAAAGAGAAGAAAAGATTAAAACAAAGTAAAAATCTATCAAAATCCTTATCAGTGTGTATAATGAGTGATATGGCAGCTCAAAATTAGGGCTCCTGAGAAATAAATTTGGGTAATTATACTGGCTCATTATTCAGGCTTCTAATCATATGTAGTGTTTACCTATACATCTGTACCTGGAAGTATCCAAGTGACCGTAGGTGTGTGTTGATCCTTTTTTTTGGCATCATGTGTCCATCTATTTTTAGCATTGATGAAAATATCTAATGAATGTTTTTGAGTGTCAACAGTTGGAACCTCCTACAGTGCCTTCTGATAAAAATAGACTTTGTTTAAAATGGTTTCATCTCACCAAACATGGGTGTTATCACTTGGTCAGGGTGAGGATAAACTACATCTGGCAGCAAGAGCTCTGATTGGGAGATTTGAAGTTTTGAGGAGTGTAGAACCACCTCTTAATTGCTGTTGTTCCCAGGTCTACCCTGACCTGAGGTGGTAGCACCTGTTAAGGTCCCAGCTATGGGTGAATAACAAAACACTATGAAAGTATAAAAATACATTTTTATAGTAAAAATACCAAGAATACATTTTTATATAAAATACCTATTTATAGTAAATTGACCAACAATACATTTTATCTTTAGCTGAAGGCATACAATTGCATTCAAAATATATTTAATTGAAACCATAAAATTGTGTTGAAAATATTTAAATTTCAGCATTAAGTAACCAATAGAGGTGTTGATATGTCACTAAACAAAATCAATCAAACCAAACTTGGTCAGGTGTAACTTCTGCTTTGTTCACAAATATTTTTTTGATTTTCTCAGAAGTACTGTGATTGAAATCAATACAGAATTAATATTCAATTTTAACTGAAGTCATTCATCTCCAGTCATTCATTCTTCATTTAGTTTTCAGTCTTCCTGCCTTTTTCAGTTTTTATCATTATCCTATTACTTTTGTGTTTCAATATTTTTGATTTTATTGCAGGTCGATTCATTTATGTAACAATGCAGTTCAAAAAAATTATAAGAATGGACCTCGTGCTAAAGAACTGCCTGAAAACAACATGTGGACACATCACCAATTTCAAGAATATCTCAGGTAAAAACTTATTAATATAGTTTTGAGAATTTGAAAAAGATACAAGTCTCTTCAGTTGCTTTTCACACAAATGTATTTGAAAAACATGTGAACATTTTTGTTACATGAAATTGCAATTTTGATAAGTGTTGTGCAATTTGAAAAGATACAAAAGTCTCTTCTGTTGCAAATTGTTTTTGTGAGTAAGACCAAAATTGAAAATGATAAGGAAATCGAGTTAGGAAATTGTATCAGAAAGTTCCCAGATAGTATGAGCTGTGATTATATCATTCAACAGAAATATGCACATGCAGATAACACTCATTGCTTTCTGATATCAGTCTGCCAATAGACATCATGTTATCATATCCAGTTAGTTTACAAGATTTTGTAATGTTGTAATTGTAACGGCTCTGTGATCTTTACATTGATTGACAAATTCAAGCAATGTGTTTGCCTCACATTTTCCATGAAGCTCAGCAGATCTGCTTTTCATAGGTCTGCTCAGCAGACCTATGAAACACTTTGTAGTTTTTGCAAAAGTTTTTTTGGTTTATCACAGGTTTTTGAGCGACATGTGAGTTTCAAAGGCCACTTCATACAGTTTAACCAATTACCAGCAAAATGTCAAAAACTGGAAAAAAATTCAGAAATTCATTCATGAAAACTGGTGTCAAACAATCGAACATTTCTCTCTTAATCACTTATGAAGTTTGCCATTCCAGTACAATTATATTTTATTATAATCCTCTTGTTTCTCTATCAGTTATTATGTTAGAACATACATTACACTTCTAACATTACCTCAGATAAATAATGAACCATTCCATTTTGATTGTGAGAAAAGATGAAAGAAAAAGATATATCAGAGACACTATTGGTTTTAGTGAGAAAAAGAAAGCAAAAAAGGAAAAATAGAGAAAGTAATAATGCTATTAGTTGTTTTACATTTGCTCCTGTGAAATGCAAATAGGGAAGAAAAAAAGGAGGGAAATAGAAAGGAATGCAAAGGAGAGAAAAGAAAGAAAGAAATTGTTTGTAACGCTAAAATGGACAAATATTTTTGTATTTTATAATTCTCAACTTTAATTTCTCTCTTTTCCCCCCGAATTTTGTTCTGTAAAATTCTGTCATTTGGGTATTTCTAATTTTTCAGGAATCGTTCATTACCAAACATTTGGGATGAGTTGATTTATCCAGGGATGAAGAAAGCTATCATTTGCTCTATGTTTGTCTCTCAGGAATTAGTTGAACCTCGAAAGGTAAGGTTCTCCCAAAATTGTTTCTCTTCTTTAAATTGCAAATGTTCAACTTACAGGATAATTATTCTTGTTTGCAGTTATCCAAATTTATGTCATTAAAACTAGGTTAAAAAAAAATGACTCAAAATTTACCTGTATTTGGAGAATGAAAGACTTGTTCAGTATGAACAATTTATTTTTTCTCTTTTTCTCTCCTTAGTTAAGTTTTTTATTAAAAGATATTTATATCTTTTTAAAAGACATAAATATCTTTTAATAAAAAACTTAACTTTTGTTCTTGAAACAAAAAACAAAATGTTTTATAACTTTATTTAAAAAAAAACAACAAAAAACACAATATTTATTAAAAAAATGAAAAAAAAACAAAAAACTGCTTCACAATTACAAATAATGAATTAATTTTTCAGTACTTTTAAAATGTCTACAAATTATTTTGTATTCCATTTCCAAGATGCACTGTGGAATTATAGTAATGGATCCTAAGTAAATTTAGAAATCAATCTTTAAGAGTTCCAGATTCTTATGAGATAAATATTATAACATTATCTTTTGTCTGTTGGGGTCATTTTGAACATTTATTTTCTCTTGTTGCTCTGATTTGTATGAAACTTAAGCATTAAATTCCATTTCAAGTTTTGTTTTTTTTACAGAGTAATTGGCCATGATTAAATGCCATTGGCAAAAATGCCCAACAAGCAGAATTTATCAAGTTTCCAATAAATAATAACAAAAGAAAAGAACAGGGCAAAAATAATACTAAGCAACCCATATATATATATATATAAAGAAATATAGTCTTAAGGTGTGCTATATTTATGGGATAAAGTGCTCAATATCAGAGATATAGTGTGTAAATATAAAAGTGAACATAGAGTCAACACTTAGAGGGTGACAGTCTGTTTCATGCTATATGCAATCATCAGGCCTGACTATTGCATATAGCATGAAACAGACTGTCGTCTCTAAGTGTTGACTTATATGTTACTATGTTCACTATATATATATATATATATATATATATATATATATATATATATATATGTATGTATGTATACAAGACAAAAGTAGGCAAAGCAACAGTAATAAGAGAAAAAGTTCACAAAGTAAGAATGATGTTAATACACAAGAGGGGTACAGACAAGTGATCACAGCATTCTGACTTCAAGGCAAGAAAGAAGAAAAATATGAGAGATGAGACCAAGAAGTGGTTTATTTTATCGTCTAGGAAGAAATCCCAGCATACACCTGTACGATTTGTCTATAAATTTGGAGAAGTTGATGTTTTTCAGTCATTCCTAACACAATTGGAACCAACACTTTTCAATAACGCATGGCACTGAAGATTCATCAAATTGTGAAAAGTTCTTGCCCATGTCAAATCTTGCACACTCTCAGTGCTTCTTTTAACTTGTGGTGAGGTTGACTCACTTTAGTTGTGAGGGTGCAATAACATCCCACACTTTCTTCATCAGACAAGAATAACTGATTGTTCAAGCTGGTGATGTTGCTTGCAGTGAGGAATCGGGAAGAGCATCCTCCCTCATCCTCCTTACAGGTTCCATTTGTTACTTAGATTTCAAACTCTTTTATAATGATATTCTCTCTTGTCAATTTAAAACCTATTTAATATTCATGGATTCTTAGTTCAATCCTTCTCTGATTTCTAAATCAATAAATGTTTTGATACTGTCATTTTTATTTTGGGTGAAAAAGATGGGTTTTGTATCGCTGAATGTGTTTAATGTATCCCAATATAAAAAAATGAAACAGGTCTTGCCCTTCTTATACTCTATTCAATAATTCATCAAGTAAGATCCAAGGGAGATAAATACCTTGAAAGACATTTTATTGCATAGATTTTATTAAAAATTAATTTAGTAACTTAAATGTAATTAAAATGTTTTGAAATGATTAAAAAAAAATCTTTTGTCTTGGCAGGGCTCTTTTGAATTGTATGGAGCCGATTTCATGTTGACAGATGACTATAGTCCATGGCTGATTGAAATTAATTCAAGTCCAAGTATGGAAGCCAGTACAGAAGTTACATCAAGGCTATGCACAAAGGTCTTAGAGGACACTATCAAAGGTTGGTGTCAATATTAACTCAAGTGACTAATGGATATTCCACAATCTTTTAGAAAATACAACATTAAATAATTCCTATATTTTTTAAAATCATAATTTGTACTTTTACACATTTACATCCATTTCCAAGTTTCTAAAACCTGAGAAAAATTCTTGTTCATAATTTTTAATTTTCATGAAGCTAACGTTTTTTTAGGTAAATGATTCTCTTCTGCCTTAACATTCTTTTCTACTTCAAACTTAATATTTTAAAGGTCAAAAGGTCAGAAGTAGTATGAAATTGACTGTGGCTAAATACTGTGGCAAGTTGCTTTTAAATTTGGTGGTAGTTAAATCTTTTTTCTTTTTTTTTTTCTATTATGGAACTGCATGGATAGAATATTTTCATTCTAATAGAAACAATTAAAACAAAAGTATCGAAAGCAACTTTATCAAACAATTTAAATTTGAATCTTTAAAAACTTGGATATATTTAATCAGTGTTCACTTAACAAATATTTAACAAAAAACAAAAAACAAACCCAGAACTAGTTAATCAAATATTTATTAATATAAATAAATTTTTCATGATGACCTACTGTAATTATGAAAAGATTTCTCCCATAAGTTTTATAGGTGCAGGAGGGTTACCGTATAAGAAACATTAGTTGTTATATTTTAATTTTTTCACCCACAAGCCGGATAGGGTGCAAGCCACTAAGATACAAGAGGTTACTGAGAGTGAAAAAAAAAAAAAAAACTGAGAGGACAATAAAAGGACAAGATTCAAAGAGACATTGCATTTAAAGTTTTGAAGACTGTACTTGACAGGAAAGCAGGAAGCCAGAAGAGAGTTCCACACGTGTAAGAGAGGAAACTATTAGCATAGAACTTAGAGTTAAAACTAGCAATTTCAACAGTGAAATTATGAGACCTAACTGCCAATCTAGTACTGTACTTAAATCATGAAGTTGAGGTACCACCAACAAGGAAAGTTCATAAAAATAATTATGAAAATATTTATAAGAGGCAAAGGGAAGCTATATTACAGTGAGGGGGATGTGACTGAAGCTGAGATGCCAGGTCAAAACTGATAAAGTTGCTGATTCTTTAGATTCTGTCAAGAATCTCTAGACATATAGCAGAAGCACCAGACCAGATGTGGCACCAATATGTGATGCACGGACGAATGGCAGACTTATAAATGTGTAAGATAAATTCTGGCAAGAAAAATTGGTTAGCATGACATAGTGAATCAATTTTTCTTGCAGCAGACTTAGCAATTGATTCAATAGAATCATTCTATGTCATGTCAATGGAAAATGTCAGTCCCAGAAAATGCAGTAAGTTTCTCTTCTGATGGTTAACATCAACCTTGCTGATAGAAAGCAAAAAAAGTTTCTTTAAGCAATTTCATTTTAGAGGTGTTAAAATTAATTTGATTTTATTGAACCTATCAGATTTATTATTAAGATGCTCATAAATAGTTGTGATATCAGCATAGATACTGAGTGGGGAGATGATGACATCAGGAAGATCGTTAAAAATAAGTAACAGAATGTGCCCAAGAATAGAGCTCTGTGGGACACCCACATTAATGCAAAATGAACTAGAGGAGTAGCCATTCAGAACAGCTTTCTGTACATGGTTTGATAAGAAAGATTGAATCAAATTAGAGAAATGGCTAGAAACACTAGAAACTTTCAACTTGTGAAGATCAACATGCTAAATGCCTTTTGAAATATTTAAGAAAAACAGCCCAAGTTTTGCCATTCTTAGCTAAAAGCTTGATAAATTCTTTCAGCAAAAGCTACATTGTTTGAAAGAAGACCCTGTGAATTGAGATACTTAACCAATTTGGAATTGATTAGATCCTTTAGTACATTGCCAAAGTAAAGAGTAATAGGTCGATAATTTGAAAGAGTTCTTAAAAACAGGAGCTACAGAAGAGGATTTCATAAAATCTGAGAAGCAAGAAGCAGCAAGACATCTATTGTTGAGCTTGAAGAAGACTAGGACAAGTTCAGGGGCACATTTTTTCAGAGCAATTGCAGGGATACCATTGAGTTCACATGCTTTGTGAGAATCACGTTTGGAGATGACAGCGGAAATATGGACAGAGTTACATGCATATTACACAGTAGAGAATCTGTAGGGAAAATAGAAATGGCTTACCCCCCAAACGCCCTCACGTCTGTCTGGCCTGTGGGTTGAGAAAAGAAAGAAAGGGTCCAAGATGGCGTCCGTGACATTTTAATATTCATGGTCTCGTGCAGTCTCGCAAGGTCGTGTTACACGCATGCTAATGAGGTGTGTCTGGGCTCCATAAAAGCAGGTCGCTTGGAGAAATTGGCAGAAGCCATTACACCCATGTTCGATATACATTGCTTTGCTTTGCGTTGTGTCAGACATTTTCCTACGGAAAGAGTTGCATCCCTTACAGTCCATATTGAATTTGACTCCTTTGCTACAGAATCAGCTCTCATTGGAAAGTTAGGCAAAGGTACTCCTGATGAGTCAAGAATAGAATTGTTAGATAATTTCTATGTATTAATATTAATTATACTTTAAATTATTCTTTGGCCCAGTGATAAAGGATTAATGGTATGTCAAACTGAAAGGTCATTTTGTACATCTGATAAATGCTTATCACATTTGCAATATCCAAAGTGAATATATTTTTGATCTAATACAAAGTATTATTAATGGCAGAACACAGTTGTAAAGGTCAAAGCGTCTTTATCTGGAAGAAATTGGGTATTATTTATAAAAAAAATAAAAATAACTATTTCAAACAAAAAAGTAATTTGAAGCATAGTCAAGAATAATATTGATATTTACTAATCCTAATTTAATATGGCACAGGAATAAGAAAAATTGAGGTAAAAAGATTGTGTAGTGCCGATATTTATAGTAGTGAGTGCTAGCTGTTAATCTGAATACCATTGGAAAATATGCAACTATGTCTGCTGCATTGCAAGCCCAAGTGTGATATTTCTGACTAAAATCATATGTAACCAGCCTATGGATTAAATAGCAGAGTAAACTCTAGCCTTGGACGGCAACCACTCTAAGAGAAGGAAAGCTGAATTCCAGACCATGGAGAAGTCAATGGAAAAATCACTCCACTGTATTTCCCAAGAATAGCAATTCATAGACAATAAAGAAAAGGAATCTGTGGAGAGCCATGGTCGCCTTTATATGATAAAACTGTAAAGTCAAATAAAACTTGAGCCTATATTTTTTAGCAGTCAGTTTAGTATTTGTAAAGTTTGCCTTGATCAAAAGCTACAGGATTGGATTTTGTGTGATAGTAATGACAGTTCCAGAAATATTTTAAAAACACTTTTTTTTCTCTCTCTCTTCCAGTTGTCCTGGACCGAAAACATGACAAAAACTGTGATATTGGCAGATTTGAAATAGGTTACAAACAATCAACTGTGAATTCACCCCCTTATCTTTGTATGAATATGTCGATAGAGGGTCAGGCCATCAAAAGACAGTGCCCAATAAAACGTTCTGTTGATCTTTCCCAGGATACTAAAGAGAATGTGTTGCCAACTTCCCAGCAGCCAAAAAAGCCCAATGCATCACAATCCCATAAAAATATGGACAAAGAAAACACAAATGATTTCAAAGTTGTTCCAGAAAATAGTAAATTGGCAGCTCCACCTTGTAATGGGATAATACGTAAAAAAGCAGTTATATCTGTCACAAACAAAAAATTGATGAAATCCCAGACCTGTTTTGAGGCATGCTCTACCTACACACTACCAAATGACTCTTTGATGCCACATGCAGAGAAGTTAAGGACTTGGTCAAACAAGGTACTGGAAATCAGTTCTGTTAGCAATAACAATTCCAGTTGGATGCTAGACAAAGAGGAAGGAACTAAAAACAACAAAAAAGTTGAGCCCAAAGTTCAGAAAGGAAACAGAATCATAGGCTACCCAAATGGAAGAAGTTATTCACCGAAAAACTACCAGATACCTTCTATAGAAAACCATAAGTTAAAAGCCAATATCAAAAGCTTCCACGAATGTCCAAAGAAGACCCTTGTGACTCCAATTGCTCGAATCAAATTTCCTTTGCTTACCTTACAATTAAGTAAACAGCCACATATGTGGCGATTCAATCCACAGAAACATATTTAAGAGCAGAAATTTTTGTGAAATAAAGCTTTATTATTGGGGTTGGGGGTGACATTCTTTTTACAAAGTCTCTGTGAAGAACTTATTTTTGATAAATTTTTTGAAAAAATATAGAATGCTTCAACTGCAGATAAAAATCCCATTTTCAGGTTTTTAAGCCTGAAAATTGGGATTTTTATCTGCATCACAAAAACAAATATCAAATAATGAAAATGAAATTCCAATTAACAGTAAAAAACATTTAAAATTTTACCCAGAATCAGCCTTGAACAGTTGAAAGGCAAATTTTGTTCATGTTTAACATCTTTAAATGTATTTTTGCATTTGATTTTCCATTGAGATTTGATATTTGTTTTGGACGATCTTCAACGTCTGTAGGTGAAATTCTATTTTGGTTCAAATACCGTATTTTCTTGTGTATAATATGACTTTAGCACACTACAACCCCTTGTTTCTGAAGCTAAAAACAGGGAATAAATTACATCCTTAAGTATATGACCTCATATACAGTCATCTCTATGTAATTTACTTTTGAAAAGTTGTATCATATCCGTTAAATGTCAATGTTGTACATATATTTCACTAAAATGTCTAATTTTTCACAATATTAAAGAATAGAAATGAAGCAGATCTTTAACCATTACATGTTTCATCTCTTAATTTCCATCTCAAAATTAATTTTCAGGGAAAGGTGCTAACTAGAAATATCGAGTAATATATCTGAAGGTGTTAATTAATCTATCATACTTTTCTGACTGATATAACGTTATTGTATTTCTAAATAATGTCTTTCATTAAGAATGAAGAGAGAAACAAATATTGCAGACATCAAATGCCATTTGTAAACAATTGTTATCAATACCTTACTTTGTGTCTTATCCATCGTCCTCAGTGTATTTACAATCTTGTTGTTTCAAATAAGGTCTTTTAAGCTGAGTAAAATTTTCCGAAAACATCTACTTGTGTACAATACCTCCACCAACCACCTTTTTATCTTTAATTTGCATTCAAAATTTCTCATATTATGCCCAAAGAAAATATGGTAATCTACCTAGCTGAAAGCTGATATTGAAGAAATTTCAATCACTGGTCATTGTTAAGACAACTTTCTTCCATTGCTTTTTATTCTTTATGACATTCTTCATGTTTCTCTATTTTCCTTCAGCCAATTTTTGAGATTTGCTTGGTAGCTGAAATGGCAACAATATGGAACTCATGATTATTACTTGAATTGAGATCAAATAAGTCACTACATTTGTATATTTATAAAATCTGCAATACTGACATGGTCTGAATGTCTTCTCACTTGCTCCAGTTTGGCCAAGATATTTCAATGCCTGAATGTTTTAAAATAAACACTGTTATTCATTTTTGTTATTGCTCAGGTTGTTTTACATTCTGCTATATAAACAGTATAAAAGATAAAAATTTCCATTGTGATTTGAAAGAAGATCTCTTTTTCTTGAGATCTTTGCCAAGCCTAACACAGAAGGGAACATGACCAAGAACTGTGCCTATTCCAGCCCTGGAAATTGTAGCAAAGAATATAAGAGTAAAATTAGCTGTCCTCCTAAAGTAAGGTGAAAAGAACAATTAAAAGCTATAATCAGGTGCCAGACAATGAAATCAGGCATGGCTGATCCTGTATGGAGGTAAGAAAGTATTTACCAACTCCTGTGGAATGAAATAAAAATACTAGACAGAGACGAACACTGGAGAGCCAGATATCTGAAGGAATCAGGCTAGAATGGCCTCCTCAGTAGTCCTAGAATAGAAACAAATGCAATATGAGAGCCATTAATAAATAGAGAGAAATGACAACAAAGCTTCAACAGCAGCAGTAAGAAAAGAGAAGCATCAGTGAAATCATGTCGGCAACAATAAATTAGTTTTAAGGCTCCAAATTCTAAATTTAGGATAGTACCACACAGGACAACAGTTTAGTGATTTAAAGCATTAGTTAATGAATTTGGTGACATAGTAATCATGAGTGCAATTCCAGGTAATGGAAACAGGGTGAGCAATAACTGAGCATCTGTCTATATTTCTGATAACTGACATCCATTAGACATGGCACGTGGAACTAGAACAGTCTACCCCAGTGAGTGAAATGAAGGGTTCAGTTTGGCATACCAACCACCTGAAGAAGGCCAGAGCGTACAACGGCCGAAATGTTGTGATAAATGTGGCAACAAAGATGAGGATGATAGCCCGAACAATGTAAATAGTGTAAATAACTGATCACTACTAAATACAAACAAGACATTTCTAGACATGGACAGTGGAATGAGAGCCCTCTAACTCTGTAGATTAAATAAAGGGTTCAGGTAGAAATCCCCCCCTGCAGGTTACATGGATGAACAAAAGCACAACTACCAAAACGTGATAATAATGAAGGTGGGAGGAATAGTCTGAATGTCAAAATAACAACCCCATGATGATGTTTCTTGTAAATTCTTCTGGACTGCTGAAATACAAAAACAACACAAAGAACTTAAGAAATTCACATAATTTTTGTGACCATTTTTATTATTTGCACATCAAAAGAAAAAACAAGAAGCTTTTCCTTCAATCAAGAGAAGAGCTGAACAATTCAATTTCAAAGACTACACAAAGACAAATCTCTTCATCTGCACAAAAGCTAGACTTGGTTGGAATGCATCTCTACTTCTGTGGCTTAAAGTTCAAAATAGCTCATTTACAAAAGTGTTGGCCCTTTTTATCAACACCAGCACCACCACCACCATAACTGAATGCAGGGCTGTCGTATCTGCACCCCACCATAATATTTTTTTCCTTTTTAACTCAATTTAAGGGTACAGTAAAAGTTTCCAAATCTGTTTAAACAAAATTTTATCATCAGGATTGATTTGCAGCTCATGGCATCATTGACATTGAGAGAAAAGAATTTTGAAAGCACGCTCTTGAGAAAAAAAATACCTTAAGAATCTGATTTTTGATGGGGTTCGGCCATTGCAAAAAATACATCCACACTCAAGTATCAGAGCAAATGAATGTGTTTAATATTCAGCGGTAGTGTGTGGCTAAAATCAAAGAAGTGACCATTTTGAAAGGTAATAGGGCTTAATTGTTGTGAGGGTTATTCAAAAGTTGCCATGCAAAAGACTAGACAATTACAGCAGTTCTCCTTAATTGCTTCTCAATTGTGCTGCAGCATGGGAAGGAAGAGGAAGACAATTTGAGATAATTCAATAACACAAAAGGTAATTTTGGGCACTATAAGGAATAGAATTGTACACTGTTGCCAGATAGTAAACGTAATCCTTGCCTTCAAATAATAAGACTATGCGTAAAAGTGGTTTAGAGAAAAAGAATGCATATCCAAGGGGGGGAGACATGCTGAGGTGGCAGAAGAGAGGGATAGGCGTGTGTAGGATGGGGGAAAGTAGAAGGTTTCAAAAACAGTAAACTCCCCAATCTAGCTTTCTCCTTCCAAGCCTCTATCAACACAGGTGGTGTGTGCATATGCTCATATACAAAAGGCATATTTAGTTTTGTTTGCATGACATCAACATGAATGGCATAAAATCCAGAAAGGCAAGCACACACACAGACACACACTAGAATCTCAAAATATAAAATTGGAGCCGACAAGTCATGTAGATTGCCATCACATGCCAAGAGGAATGAAGATTTCTGCAATCCTGGTCGTCATTTTCATAATCCTGGGAGGGATTACCAATTGGAGTTTTTGGCTGCAGAATACTTGACAGCAACCAAATAATCAGATGTAAACAAAAGAAAAGTGGATTTCTTCTCACACTGAGCAGAGTCAAAGAAACAGGTTAAGTGAAGTGAAAGACACTCATCTATTGAGATTCTATCACAATCTTTGTTTTTTCATACATGTTGCTGATAGTTGTCTGAAAAAAAAAACAAAAAAACAAAAAAGAAACAATTACTTATAAATTCACATAAAATGCAATGTATGTGCATAAAGTATTAAGATGAAAATGTATAGAAAGTGCACTGATTTGTGAGTCTTCCACAGTAAATTTGCATCCAGGTTCTTAAAACTTTTCGCCTTTTTTAACAAATCTTTTTTTGGTCACAGCAGGTTTTTATTTTTTTTAATCATTTTATCTCCAAGCAAGGTGATAATGCCATTAGGACACAGGTGGTTACAGGGAGTGAAAGAGAATGAGGAGACTTTAGTGAGGAGAAGTGAGGAAAAGACAATTAAAAAACAGGATTCAAGAAGACAGAGGATGGTAATTGACATTGCATTTAAATCTGAAGATTATAGGTGAAAGGGAAGCAAGAAATTGTGAGTTTCACAGGATGGAATTGCAAACAAAAATTTACATTATTCAGACTGTTATCGACATCTTCATTGCCATTTTCACAACATTTTGGCTGTTGTATGTTCCAGCCTTCTTCAGGTGAATGGAATTTCTCAACTCTTCAAGTTTTTTGGTTCACCATGGCTGTAGCCTAGTATTAAACTTACATGCGAGTTTATTCCAGGCTACAGTTAAAGAGAAATAACTCAGACATCCAGAAGAGGCATGACTTGTGGAACTAGAACAATCTACCCCAGTGGACAAAAAGTGTTTGGTTCAAAATTCCAATCCCCTGAAGAAGGCTGGAGCATACAACAGCCAAAATGTTGTGAATATGGCAATGAAGTCAAAGATAGCAGTCTGAATAATGTAAATAATCATAATACTTCATCTCAGAGATATAGACAGATAAAAAAAACAAAAACTTTAAATTTAGTGCCACTACATCTTCAGCATTCCTTCTTGGTGCATAATTATAATTGGCATTTTTATTTATATTTACTCCCACCCCATATATATATATATATATATATATATATATATATATATATATATATATATTTATTTATTAAAGACATTTTTATGTTTAACGTTCTTTTTATAGATACAAGTATTTAAGTAAATGCTCTGTTTATAATAAACAGTATTAAATAACATTTACTGGCCTGAATGTCCGAGAAATTTTCATAGAAAATATTCGTCCTTTCTTTATATATATATATATATATATATATATATATATATAAAATTCTATCAGCACGAACATTAGTCTGATGAAGTCCTTTTAAAGGATGAAATGCTTTACATAGAAATTTTTCATTTTGTCAGTCAATTATCTATCTATATATATATATGTAATATCACACATTGAGTGCTAGTGCTAACAAAACATTGTTTGATGTATAATAACAGAGTTATAATTTATATTAATAATAAATATACATTTTTCTGTAATGATAGTGGAGCAATCCATTTATTCATGATGTGGAGATTATATATATATATATATATATATATATGTGTGTGTGTGTCAGTGCCGATAAACTGCAGTAGTTGGGGGTCCAAAACTTCTATCCGCGGCTTAGATGGTTTGCAGTTTAGAACAAAAATGAGTCATGACATCAGGATTGGCAGCTTAGACCACCAAAACAAAGCTTGTCAAGTCCATGAAGTTATCTGTGAAAATGGGTAACACAGTGGTTTAGCATGAAAAATGCGTATTCAATACTAAGAGTTGAATATTGGCAGTTTTGAAAAACATTTATTAAAACTATCCTTTAATTTCACATAAAAATCTGCACCAATATGAATAAATTTGAAAGACAACAGCCTAAAATGATTCCAATTATAAAGCGCCATGTCAATAGATCCATCATCAACACAAGATTATTAAACAAAAAATAAATTTATATTTGTGAAACCACTTGTGTTTGTCCTTGGATGTTTAACAACAAATAGATAGATGTTTGTTTATATGTCGGTGTACATGGAGATAAATGAAAGAAATTAAAAATTTGAGTGCATATAATTCTTTGTTTTTTTTTTTTTTTTTCTAAATTGGTACCTTAATAAAAATTATTTGGAAATTAGGTAAATATATATATATATATATATATATATATATATATATATATATATATATATATATATATATGAACACAAAAGTTATTTTTGATTATCACTGACAATAATCATGTATCTTTCCAAAAAAAATTGTTCTTGTCCAATTTGGGTAAAATCAAAAATAATAACAATTACATACGAGGAGATTTTTTTTTTTTTTTTTTTAAACTGTAAAGGAAAGGAATGAAGGTTGATTTTTATTTTTTTTTTATTTTTCTCCAGCATGATGTTAAAGTCTGCGAATAAAAA